AGCAATTGAGAAACAAGGTGATAACATGGTTGCTTTATGCCTTAAGTGTTATACATCATTCAACGGTTCAATTGATGGAAGTGATTTTAAAAAGATTGCACAAAAAATGAAAGGTGTTAGTTTACGACAAAATAAACAATTAACACCTAAAATTATTTGGATATAATAAATGATAAGTTATTTTCGATGGTCAGAATATTAATTTACAACTTAAAAACGGGTCAATGACTCGCTTAACAATCGGTAAGACTGCATTAACAGGAGCACACACTAAGGCTGTATGTTGTGAAAATGGATGTTGTATGCCATTTATTTAATACAATTTAAAATTTTATTTTTAATAAAATGCCACAGAAGAGACAAAAGGAACCGAATAGATTTATACCAAATGGTTTTAACTTTCAGATTCCAAATAATCAACCGCAACGAATTTTTCAAATCCCACCACAGCATCAACAGCCGCAACAACCACCACCACAACGTCAACGGAGAAGAACATTCACCCCTGAAGAAAGAAATTTCAATAATTTGATGCGTCAACAAAATCAAGGTTTGAGATTTTATCCAGGTAGTAATGGTATACATATAAGGCATCCAAATTTAGATAGAAGATATACCGCTGAGATTCATATTTTACCTAATAATACGGTTAATTTTGCTGGATTTTATGATCATCATCAGGAAATCTGGACTCCACCATTTGATACCGTTTTAGAAGGAGGAACCGTTAATGATGTGATTCAATATGTAAATAATGGTTTTGATACTATGATTCAAAGAGGTGGGCACCCTTAAAACATTTATTTTATTTTTATATAAATGGATAACGCAGATTTAGAAAATTTAATTGATGATTTAGTACTTAATCAATTTTCTTAATTATTATGAATTAAAATCATATCTCCAAAAACATAATAAAAATATAACGGGTGATGATATGGATTATTATTATCCGTATTATAAAAATGAAATTTTGAAATATCATGATAAAATAATTTCTGTAATTAAAGACAAAATTAAAAATAATGAATATACAAAGGAAAAACTAAATCACAACTTAAACAGTTGAAAGATTTCAAAAATAAAGTATTAACAGAAGAATATTGATGAATTATATAAATTATATAATCCTGAGCCGCAAAAGCCAAAGGAACAAAAACAAAAGAAGAAAAAGCCGAAAACAACACCAAAAGAGAAAGTAGCAAATGTTCAACAGCTAAAGGTGCAAAACCCCAGGTCCTTCAGACCATAAATGAAGCACAAGCTTTAATTTATGATTCATTAGTTAAACCATATTCAGCCCGACTTTTAAATGAAGATCAACTTTTGGAATTCATCCTTCAACATAAACTCGAAGCGGGAAAGTATATCAAACCTTTATATACAGCATATTTAAAACAAATGAATAGAATACATCCAGAATTAATGAAAGGAAAATCAACAACTAAAACTTCATCATCCAAAATCAAAGCAGATAAAATTAAACCACCTGCAACACCAAAACCTCCAACGGTAGTACCTCCCCCTTCAGTTAATCCTCCATCATTCACTTTATTATATCCATTTCAAACATTAAAGAAGCAAAAAGATTTTAAAAAGGATTTCAAGATATTAAATAAACCAATTGACCGGAAAATTCAACCGTTAAAGGAAAAATTTAGTCGCCCTTCATTTGCTTCATATCCATATTCATACGAAATAGATCATTTAGAATATTCAAAAGGAAACGTTACTTATTTATTTGCCATTAACATTAACACTAGATATTTATATTGCATTCCGGTGAAAGGGAAAACAGAACAGGAAACAAGAAGAGCTATACAATACTTACTAGATCATGAAAGAGTAGATAATATAAGGGGTGATGGTGATAAAGGATTTCAGGCAGTTATGATTTATTATTTCCCACAAATTAATTTTTACTTCTCATCCTCTCCATATATGTTTCATAATAAAATAGTTGATGCGGTAATGAGAACTCTTAGAGATGCGTTAGGGGTTAACGGTCAGATATACTGGGATGGAAATCATGACTCCATCATACAACAGTTAGTATATTATTACAATAATACATGGCATAGAACTATAAACATGAAACCAGTGGAAATGAAAAATGATATTTCAAAAGAATGGGAATATATTAGAAAGCAAATGGAAAGGTTAAATGATGTTAAACGTGAACAAATTAATTCGGGGCTCCTGAATTTTAAACAGGGGGATAAAGTTTTGATTCATCTCGATTATGGAAAAACTGATAAATCAATGACAAAAAGAAGACGAAGATTTGACACAATAGCTGAATTTGTTAGATATATTAACGGCAATGCATTAGTTGAAGTTGACAATAAATTAATAGAAATTCCGATTTATTTTATTACTCCATTATATTTAAATAATATTTAATTTTTTTTATTTCGTAAGAAATGAGTGACAACAAAGCAGCCAAGAGTCCTGATTCAATTAAGATTCAGAGTCCAGACAATGAATATAAAAAGAAATTAAACAGAATTAAATCAAAAATATGCTATTACAAAAGAAGCCGCAATGCGGTGGGCTGATGCCCATAAAACTAAAGGAACTGAAAACGATAAAGAGAGGAAAGAAATAATCGAAAAATTAGAAACTTACCGTTCAATCCTTAAACTGAGTGAAGCAAAAATAAAAGAATTTAATAGAATAAATAAATTGATTGGAAGAGATGAATTTAATAAAGATGAATTTTTAAACTCTATCCAAATTTAATTTTTATTCCTCTTCGACAACGTCTCTTCGAGACGCCGAACCCTTCTGGGTTCTTCTTTCCATCATTACTGCATAACCGCATCTTCTCGGTTTTCGTGGTTTGTTGTTTTTAATTAGTTCTTGCATCATTTTTATCATCTCCTCCCTTGTTATGATTCGTGGTAAATTTTGAGCTTGTGGGGTATCCATTTATATAAAAATAAAATTTTGTTATCAGTTATTTTATCGTTAATGGTTTTTAGGTTATTCAATAATTAATTATTTTTGAATAACTGATGGTGTCACTACGTCACCATGTGTCACCTGGTTAATTAACTTCTTTTAAAAATGATGACAACATGACATTTAGACATCACAGCAGGATTAATGCAAAAATAAATTCGAATCATACTTTATACTGCAAGACCTTCAGGTCTCGCCGCTTAGCGGCTCATTTACAGGTATTTCATCGTCAGTAAATGAATCATCATTATCGTTTGGTTCAACCTGTTTATATAATCCTTTCATTTCTTCTTTCAAAACATAACACCATGTTTGTTTACCATCTATTCTTCTCTGTTTCCTTTCACATTTATCCTTAATGCTCATTTGAAAGTTTTTGTCTTTCATGTCTGATGGTTTGCAGAATAGAGCATTTTTACACGTCATACCTGCACACAATTCATCATAATGTGTATTTATCCATACATCTAAAGGATTTGTTGATAATTCTATTAAATCTTGTTTGGCTTCAGTCATCGGTATGATTCGTACGTTAAATGATGAAAGGTCATATTGCATAAAATATGTTAGTAAATTATCATAAAATTCCTTTGTGCATGAATCCATTAAATTCTTGAAATAATCAAATTGACCCTTGAATTTACCATTAACCCTTAAAACTACGTATCTTCTGTCTCCAACTTCATTTTGACAGGGTAGACGTTGTTAGTTACGAAAATGAAGTTTGCAACGTTCTGAGCAGTTCTTCTGGGTTGATTCTTTTCATTAATTCTTATTTGATTATCCGTAATAATTGATTTCAAAGCGTTGAAGTTTGCGAGTCTGTCTTCACCTACATTCTTGAGTTCATTAAGTACAAGAAACATTTTATTCTCAACTACTGAATTGAAATTACCCGTTAGCTCACCTATTTCGGTAATGTTTTTACATGAATAACCAGCGAGAAGTTCAGAAATAATGTCTGTAAATCTGTTTTTACCTGTTCCCTGAAGTCCTTTCAAAATAATTGCTGTTTCATTCTTGATTCCAGGATGTTGAATCATTGATGCAATCCAGCCGAGAAGGTATTTATACACTTCATCGTTATTATCACAAATGGCTTCTTTAATGAAATTCATAAACATCTCAATTTTTGAGTAATCTGGTTTTTCGAGAACGTTGTATTTATAACCCTGAAACGTTGAGAAAACATCTGGAGAATCAGATTTAAAGTAAACACCCTTAACGGTTAATGAGGATAATTGATTTAGTAGTACGTCCCATGCTGTTATGGTTTTATTCCTTCTTCTTTAAATAATTTAATCATTTTGAGTGACTCTTTCATGTTTGATTGAAGAACGAATGATATTTGATTCATTTTATCGTGTATGTTGTAATCTTTCTGAATAAAGTATTTGTTTCCACAATCTACAAAACGGATTACACGTGATAAATCCTCAATTACTTCAGAACTGTTTTATACTGATGATTTTCAGCCTTGCGTCTAATATCTGTTATCAAGAATGAATCATCAAGTTTTATATCAAATGTTATTTTTGGCTTACATAATAAAGGCAAAACGTATTCATCATAATATTCCTTTTGATATAGTTTTAGAATCTTCACTAAAACAAATGGAGAAGTTTAAATGTGCATATCTACTACGTGCTTTTTCAAAATTACTTTTTGCATTTTCTGTTAAACTGCAGAAGTTATAAACGTTATCGTAGGCTTCATTAATTAAATGATTAGGTAACGAATTAATAGCTTGAAACAGTGTGAATAATGTAACTTCTTTTTCTAAATTCATGTTTCCACCGTCATTATGTACTTCAAAATCACTGATGCCATCAACTATGCTTTGAGCTAGTTTATCGTCAATGTTTACATCTTTGTTTTCATTCATGATAGTCTTTATTTCTTCATTCTTTTGTTCAACTCTTACCTTAATATTCAAATCATTTAATATATCATTCACTGTTCTGGTTATGGTCGAGTCATAACTTCCACGAATGAATGAGTATGTTTTTGATTGGTTCTGTTGCATTCTTGCGAACTCTTGAATCAGCCATAACCACTAAAGAACGCTTTGAATCATCCATAGAAGTCATTATGTCAATATCATAATCATTGCAAGAATAGCATTTAATCATTCTGTTCGAAACTGCATAGAAGAAATTAGTGTTGCAATAAATGTGAAGACCTCCTGAAGCGGTTTTAACGATAACATCTTTATCCGAAAGTTTTGATAAAATATCTTTTCTAACTGTTTCTTTAAGTTCATCATTGTATGATTTATTGATATCAACATCTATAATCGTTAAATTTGAAATTTTATTTACTAATAAAGCCATACCAGTTTTCCTTCCTCTTCCTCCATCGTGTTTGAGGTAGTTATGTAAATCAATCTTGTTTTCACCAATTCTTTCGTTGAGGGTTTTAGTTTCTGCCACAACTAATTCCTCAGCTAATGAATCAATAACTTTTTCATCAGAAACGATATAGTTGCTGTTGTTGTTTGTTGCTGTCATTTATATAGGAATAAAAAAATAAAAATAATTTTAAAACTAACTTTATTTTTGGACTGCATCAAATTTCCTTTGTTGATGTTGTCTAAATGTCATGTTGTCAGTAATTTTAAGAGAAGTTAATTAACCTGGTGACATGGTGACGTGGTGACACTGAAACCATTAACGAAATCATAAACGAAAACATTTATTTCCGGGCTAGTTGTCTAAATGTCATGTTGTCAGTAATTTTAAGAGAAGTTAATTAACCTGGTGACATGGTGACGTGGTGACATGGTGACGTGGTGACACTGAAACCATTAACGATAAAATATATTTTTGGTGTAAATTTTATTAAGTTCATCTTTAGTTAATTTGAATGGATTCGCTAATGTTCCACCTTGAGCCACAACACTTGCCCCGGCTAATTGTGAAGAACCTGGGATAAGTACTCCATGAAATGATTTCATTGGTATCATTAATTTAGAAATAGTTGGTTTAATTATTTTTGTCATTTATGATAAAAATAAAATTGCATAATTTAAATTTTTTTCTTTCTCATTTTCTCATTTTCTCATTTTCTCATTTTTTCTCTTTTTCGTTCTGTTTTGGTTTCAGTAACTTTAATTTTAACTTTGGATCAAATATTGGGTTTCCATCTTTATCTCTTCCAATAACACCATATGGTAGAATCTTCATTTATACTAAAATAAAAATTTAAATTATGCCGTTCTAAAGTTTGTGAAACAAACATTGAGCGTTCATTGAACGCGAAACCATGCATAAACTGTCATATAAGGTGGCATGTAATCTTCACCCGAGCCTGTTGGATTTGTTGTGAAAGTATGGACATGATTTCCTCCTAGTTCAGTTGGTCGAAAAGTCTTTTTTGCTGAATTGTTATAAGATGGAGATAAAACGTCATAGCCAGCTTTATAGTCTGAGTTGTATAATGGGTGGTCTCTTAATGAGCGGCTATGGTCGCCAGAAAAGTTTGTCGTTCCTGTATGAGTGTGCGCAGGTAAATTTTCTCCCGTAATCTTTTTACTTCCACCGGTTTGTTTTGAACTATTAGCACAATAGAGGAAACGATCGGTTATTTGTTGCCATGTACCGAAACCGAATACATCAGCTGGATTTGTTGAATTCATTGATGTATATATTGAACCAATGGGGTAAATCATCTCAAGAATTGTATTTAATCCATTATGAATATTGAATTTATTATATAATATTGAATTTGGGTGAGTATTTAAAACTGGTCTTGTTATCAATATTAACGTATTATTTTTGAAAATTGCTTTTCTAACATCTTGAAATTTTGTGATTTCAGACCAGTTTCTTCCATCACTACTGATATTTACTAAATCACCACATCCTAACGCAATGAAATACCCATCAATATAAAATAAATTAGTAAATCTATAATTTCGAGTAAGTTTTGGAGTGAATGAATAAACCAATTCCCAATTTGATAAATCCTGTGATAAATAAATATGTCTGTTATAACTTACAGGATATGAATAGACCATACCACCTGAAACAAGAACACAAACATTTGAAGCATAACATAAAGCTTCAATGTCTCCATCGGCTTGAAAAAATTGTTCAAAACGACCTTGTGGTATTGAATATGATCTATAAATTTTATCATTCTGTAGGATAAAATACATGCTGTTAATGTAATACCATTTACTTGTATAATCAATTTTCAAATCTGATGACATCATACTAAACATATAATAATTTATCCCATCCTCACTAATGAAAATTTGATTGACTTCATAAATTAGTACCCATTTATTATTAACACATCTAATAGGATTATTTGGATATTTAAATTTAGCATCTTGATTTAAATTACATTTGAACCATTGGATACAATCGAATGAATTACAAGGGCAAAAATCATCTCCAACCGTTATCATTCCCATAAATTTACCGTTATTATATTCAACATATAAAATTCTTGGATTAATGATTGGCTTTCGTGTATCAGGATTCAAAACAGATGGAGTAAATGATTCATAGTTTTTAAAATCATTTGTTTTAAAATAATAAAGCACTCCAGCTGTATAAAATAAATACGTGGTCACTCCATCGAAACATATCCATTCAAAAGAATCTATATCAAAGGTTTTATCTGATGATTTCATAAAATTTAAAAATGGTGGAGTAAAATAGACCTCTGATTGTTTTATTTCTTCATTAACAAATGATATATCAGCTTTCTTTGCTAACTCAGTATTAATGAATGAAATAACTTTTTCCTTATCTGCTTTCTTCTCTAACTCATTGTTAACATATGTTTTATCTGCCTTCTTATTTAATTCATTGTTAACATATGTTTTATCTGCTTTAAGGTCTAAACATCCTGAAACCCATTTTGTATCAGCTTTAACTTTAAAAGTCTCCAATGTCCATTCATGATACCATTCAACCTTTTCTTTAATTTCATTATCTTTTTCATCAACATAAACTAAATTTGCCTTCTTGTTTAACTCGGTATTTACATAAACTAAATCTGCTTTCTTCATTAACTCAGTATTAACATAAGTTTTATCTGCTTTAAGGTCTAAACATCCTGAAACCCATTCTGTATCAGCTTTAACTTTAAAAGTCTCCAATGTCCATTCATGATACCCTTCAACCTTTTCTTTAATTTCATTATCTTTTTCATCAACATATTCCTTATCCACCTTCTTCATTATGTCATTTAGGAAACCTTCTATGAATTCCTCATTTAAATTAAATCTTCCAATCTTCAAAACTTTAGGAAATGCATTTAATGCGTAATATCTCTGTTCTTCTGGTGGAATTGATGTTATATCATTCGTTATACCTTTAATTTTAGAATTCATAAATAAAATTTCTTTTATATTTGATATCACTGCACCACCTTTGCAAACGAATTCGAAATGGTCATTTTTCAATACTATCTCCAAATCTCCATATTTCAACCTTTGCGTTTGTTCTGCCGTCTTTGAATTATATGCATATATGGCGTATGTAATGGTCTGAAGGACCTGGGCGCTTTGCGCCTTAAGTTGCTGTTGTTTAATCATTTATTACGATTTAAAAATAAATATTTAATCCGTTATCTCATCAGCTATTTTCTATTTGAAATTGCCATAATATTTCATTCATAAATTCTAAATCACAATCAAATAGGTCAGTTATTCTCAATTTAATATTTGATAAATCTTTTGAATGAAGAATAAATGAATTCCCGGATAATTGAAACGGATATGATAAAGAAATGTGTTTAAGTTGATGGATAAAATGTTTTGTATTGATGGGTAAGAGTTAGGGTCTAATGTTTGATGTGAAAATCTCATTGGGGTATTAACTTTATCACATTTGATTAAAATGAAATTGGAACCAGTGTCAGAATACAAAACATCCCCAACATCTTTTCTTTTTCAAAATTTAATATCCCCAACAATGAACGAAGATGAGGAGTACAAAATTTAATTTTCAGCGGAAATTTAATAAGGTTATTTATTTCATCAAGTTCAAAAAGTTTATCGGGTTTTGATTTAAATTTTTCTTCATACCATACGATAAATGATTATTTAAATAACTTAAAATCATGTTAATTATTTCGCTATCACATTATTTATATACATATCATACGTTTTTTCATGGTCATCTTTAATAAATGATATATAATCTGAAGGGTCTAAAAGAATGGGATTAAATTTACCACTCACAGAAACGAGAGTAACATTATAAATTCCGCTAACTGTTAAATTTAATTCACAGTTATTATTCGAAATAATATTGATAATTGACATTTTTTATTACGATTAAAAATATGGTAAAGCGTTATTTTCCAGTGATAAATAAAACTAGAATAAGATTACCTCAAGAATTCATAAATTCAACGAATAAGAAATTCATTCATGTTATAAATTTTAGTGTTTTCAGAAAATATGAGTCAGTGTCATATTCATCAACAGGTTATATTTCACTTCATTCAAATTTAGTTCAATCAAACCATATAATGACCATTTCATAAGATTTTCAGATGGTATTAAAAATGTAATTGATAGATTAAAATATGAACAGATTGACAATATCGAATTTTTGGAATTTTGGTTTAAATATCCCGATGGAAAAAAGATTGAAGTTAAAGATAAAGCTGATACTATAACAAAAACGATTACAATGACCGATCCGGATAGTGGGGAACAAAAAGAAATAAAACAAACGATAGAAACTGGTGAAAGGTCAATTATTATTGATTATGATTCAAAGGATTATTATTCGATAATGTTAATGCTTGAATATTAAATAGCCTTAACAAAGAATTTTTCAAGTGATATTTTATATTCATCAACTATTTTATTATAAATATCATTATATGTTAAATGAAGTTCAGTTGTTGTTCCGTTCTTTGATATCTTAATTGTGCTAATATCCTTTATAGGATTTATTTTTGCAACTGTTCCGCAGCATGAAACCTCATCATCTATGAAAAATTGAATCTTAACGTCTGAATCTTGAACATCACAAAGAATGGCGATAATGTGAATTAATGATTCATAAGGTAAAATAATTAAACCGGATTGGTCAATTAAATTTATTATTGAATCATAATTATTAATTATTATATCACGGTAAATTTTCATTAATTCAGAATTAATGTCTATTTTATATGGGTTCTCGATGTTTGATGAAAGAGGTGGGGGTATGTTGGATAAGTGGGAATTTCAGCAGGTTCTTTACCGGGTTCAGATAAAATGATTGAGTCTCCATCTTCTTTATTTTGCTCCTCCTCCTTTTTCGGTAAGTCACGAGTTAATAAATTTGGTTGAGTTGCTGACCTTGTTAATTCAGGGCTAACATTAACTTTAACATTTTGAATAATTCGTGATTTATCATCATTTACGTTATAACCAACCGTAATCTCTGCTTTTGCGTTAGTGTTCTTTTGACTAGTGAAACGTCTTCTCATTTATAATCGAATAAAAAATATATTTAAACTTTTATTTTGCTGGAAGTTTTGAATCTATTATTCCCTGTATTTGTTCATGAAGTTGATTTTTAGCTGGTTCATTGTAATTAATAGACCTAATATATTCATTAATTGCATTCTTATAATCATCTGATTTCTCAAATTTTCTTTTATCTGATTCCTTAACTAAATCATAAGTTAAACCTCGTTGCTGATATAATGGTTTCTTAATTAAATCTTTGAATGCTTGAGATAAAGCACCTGATGCAATTCTTGCTACTATAGTTGGTTGGAATTGCTGTTTAAGTTCATCTTTAACATTTGCGAAAACTGGATCGAATAAAGCAACTTTAAAGAATTTCTTAGCTGAAATTTCAGGTCTAATATTTGCATATTGACCATCAAACTGGTTAGAATATCGTGGTAATCCATCTGATCCCTCTTCAATAGCATTTAATTCTTCATTGAAATAAGAATATGGATTATAACGGTATGAATTAATTGGACCATTTTCACCTTCTCCAATGTATTGTTTAACAGCTTTTCCATTTTCATCAAATTGCATAGGATAACGTTCATTATATGCTTTACGTTTAGGATAATCAGTTATAGTTAATTTATAACCATTTATGACTTTAATATTACCTTGACCATCAGTAACGAAAACTTCATTTATACCATCAGGTTTTCCATTTGGACCCGTAATGTCTGCTTCGTGTGCTTCCCAATTTGGACCATGACGTTTGGCATATGCTTGAGCTTCTGGTAATGTTAAAACGTTTCTCATTTGTTTAACATCTTTTTGAAGACCAGCAACAATATGAACTAATTCTTTCATTCCATCAGGAACTTTCATAGTTCTATTATATGCACCCTTTTTGTTTGTTCCTTGTTTTAATGGAACCTGTAGAAGATTTGCTATTTCTGTCATGTTTAATTATAAATAAAAAATAAAAATTAATTATAAAAAGTTAATCAAATTTAACACCTCCTTTATTTAAATCAACTATTATTTTTCCATGTTCACCTAATTGCTGATATTGTGTGTAAAGTTCATTAATGCTCATTGGTAAATTCACTTGATAAAGCATAACGTTCAACTGTTGACGACTAAGTCCACTGAAAATGAAAAGGGTTGATAGATTTGATTTAATGTTTGTGCTTAATGCTTTGAAGTATTGAACAGCCATAAAGAATGAACACTGAATGTGTCGACATTGAGTTAATAACTGATTAAATTATGATTTCTCATTTGTTATTAGTTTTGATTTCACTGCATCATCTAGAAAAATGAGTGAATGCAAAAATTCTCTATCAAAATTTGAAATAGAAAGTGTTTCAAATAATTCATCCCGTTGTTTATCAATAATTTTATCCTCTAATCCTTGCTTCTTGATGTATTATATAATTCTTTATACATTAAAAAGTTTTTTAAATAATCTTCTGCTTCTTCTTGTGATAAATAAATAATTGGAATTTTGATTAAATGCTTTAAAGATTCAAATGTATCATCTGAAGGTGAACCTGAACGGTTGATATAAATTAACACATGTGAATGGGGTGAAGTGTTTAGCAATAATGATAATTTGTTTTAATATCGTTAATGTTTTACCTTTATTCTGTTTACCAATTGCTGCAGTGATTGAATTTAAGTAACATTCAGAATATGGAATTTTCATTAATTTTTCCTTAGATAGAGCATTTCTATTATCACTCAATGCTTCATTAATCATATCATCTATGTATGTATTATATACTCCTGCTAATTCTTCATAAGGAGTGTATGAATTTAAATCCATTTAATCAAAAATAAATTTATAATTTTAAACATTTCTATTCATCAATATTTCATCATATGAACTTCTATACTGTGGTGGTGTACCTGTTGGATGATATTTCAAACCTTCTTCCGGTGTCCATGTCCAATATGTAGTCCTAGTAAACCAAACCTGAGGAGGATTTGTCACCTTTGAACAGTAAGTGTCATTTTCACCCTGAATGATTGGATAAGCTTTCACTTGTACTGTAACTTGTGAGTTGAAAGTTTCTAGTCCATCAAAGAATATACCCGCTCCATCACGTTGAACTGGAATAGTGCATAAGAATGAAGTTTGGTCTTTCCATGTTCTAGCTAATGGCGTGCCATTATCTGCATTCAGTGGTCTAGTTAATGAGTCCTCGTATTCTTCTGTGCATTCATTCACTCCATCTAAATCAGAAGCTTGAAGCATACGTGTAAAGAATATGTCACCCACTGTGGTCATCGCTTGATCGGGGAAGTTTCTGGAATCTATAGTGACCTGAAGACCTCGAAGCATTGGATTTTCTAAAACCGTTCTTTGCATTGCATTCTTCGGAAATGCTAACACAACATCTGTAACATTATGAAGAGCGTATGAGAAATCTGAGCTAATACCTTCAGGAGTGATGCAACCTCCATTTAGTGAACGAACGTCAATATGTTGAGCTGGAATCATGAATGGATCTTCCTTACTGAATAAACGTGGTATTGCTTTAACTGATTCTTCAATTAAACGTATCCTGGTGTAATGCATTTATCCTCTAAAACTTCCATCTTTGTGCATGAAATAATAACGTCATCAACTGTTGCGTCAGCAGATGTAGCGGCTAAGCTTGTAATTAATTTGGCAGGAAGTCCGATTTGTTGGAATTTGCGATCATATTTATAAACATGATTCATAATCTTTTCATAATTTTCATCAGTTATCTTTTCATAAACGTAATTTTGTAAATCAGCAACTCTTAACGGGTCAACCTGACAAAATACTAAAGTATCCCTGAAAACATAATATTTAAGAATGATATCACCAAATGATTTAGGATAATCATCGAACGCCTGAAATGCTAACAAATCATTTACCGGAATAATCATATCAAAAGTGACATCAACTTCTTCATTTGCTTTCTTGAAAACTTCTGAAGGGTCAATATATTTACCACATACTGAGTTATCATATTTTTGAACATTATTATATAACGAATGAACAAACTTTTTAACTTTCCTTTCTGATTTTGGTTTATATGTTGCAAATGCGAAAGATTCACGGGCGCAATCCATCTGAAGATAACCGGCATCACCTCTTTCGGTTTCTACTTCTAATTGTTTAAAGCTTTGATTTGATGATTTGTAACCAACGAATAAACGCATGCATTTAAAAGCGGCATCACATGTGAAAGCTTTATTTGAAACTAGAGTTGCTTTAACTTTGCGTTTAATATATGTGTCACCTAATTGGTTCACATCATGAGCCGGATTTGTAATTCTTAAATGAGTTTGTTTATCATCAAAATATGGAGCATCAGAGTCATAGCATGAACTTTCAAGTTCTCTATAATATCTTCTACCGTCATTCTTTGCGAATATTTCATTTATCTTTTCGAATGAATGAAACACATTTCCATTAATCGGTTTAGTGTTTGGCACCAAATAGTTAGTCGTCATTTATTAATAAATAAAAAATCAGAATTAAAAGATGAAAATGAATTTTTAATTTTAATGAAATAATCAACTATGGCTGCAGGTATATTTAAGAAACTGTGGAATAAAGTAAAAAGAGGAGCGAGTAAAGTTTGGGAAACATTGAAGAAGGGGGCAAATTGGATATTTAAGAATAAAGAAGCAATTAGTGACGTTGCTGAATCAATAACACCAAAAGCTGCCCCAATAAGAGAAGTTTTAAATAAAGGAGAAAAAGTTTATCAAAGACTTCAACCGATACTAAGATAAAAATAATATTTATTTATTTTTCCACTATCTACCCCCTATTTTATTAAGTATTCCTTCAGCTATTCCACCAACTGCGTTACCTGCTTGTGCTCCCATCGCCGGATTACCTGCTTTAGTACCTAATACTCCACCTATGATAGTTCCTGCCGTTTTCGCTACTGGTGCCAAAAAGTTTGCAACGGGTTTAATAATCTTTTTATAAACCCAACCCGCAGCTTTCTTAAGGATGGGCACTCATTAGGGTGATGAAAAAAATCAAGTCTAGCAAAGTCAATATATTAAAAACAGTGAAGACTATTATATAGCATTATAGTGCACAAGCTCAAATATTTAGTGATGCATTTCTCGAACTTATTTTATTTATAAGTTAACCTTGAAACATGAATTTTAGTATATCATGAGCATATTTTTTTCTAATTTTGCAATACTTATAATATCATACCAGGATTCATGTGGAAGTCTAATATTTGGTATATAATATTCTTACAATAAATGTATTAATTCAATTATATTCAAAATGATGGGTCGCAATTTTTACTGAAATTGCAAATTTAATTTCAACAATGAAATTATTGTTTAAAAAAAATAGCACAACAGCAAGATGGACAATCATATATAGAATTATAATGCTCCATATAATGCTTTGATTTGATGCGTATATAATGTTATTTTTCGAACATCTTTGTAAAAAATTGATTTTTGTAATTTTTGAAAAAATTCGATTTTATTTCGAGATTTCCTCTATAGGTGAAGTATATTGAACAATATTCCTATGGGAGAAAATAATTGTAAGTATGAGTACTTTCATTAATACTATGGGTGCCATGGTTATCGCTCAAACGATCAAGTTATATCTCGATTGCGTAAATTGAAATTTTGCTATTTTCTAAATTCACGGCAACAACATTCTTTTATCCTGATCGTACATCACAATATTTGAATGTGCGACCATTTGTTCAAGAAACCGTCAAGTTATTCTTCATTTTTCATGCCGCGGCGAACAAAAGCAGTTGCAAAGCGTATAAAGAACTTAGTTCAAAGCGCGAAAAATAGGGTAGAGCCATATGTCGTCAACACTGTTGAATTTGTGCTATCTGTATTATTGAGCGGCGCTACATTTTGCCAATCAGAATTTCAATTCATGCTGAATAACATCAAAGTTCCGTCAGAAGCTACATTTCATCGAGTCCAAGAAAAGGTTGGTCGTGTTATCATAGAAGTTGCCAGAGAATCTGTTAATTATTGGAAATCTCGAATGAGAAAATGTTCGGGACTTTTGTTTGACGGTTCTTGGAGTCAGAGAAGAAATGCAATGTTTTGCTATGTACAATTTGTAGAAGAGAAACTCAAAAAAATTGTAGATTGGGAAGTGATATCTAAATCTTTTAAAAATTTCAAAGGTAATTTCAACGGAAAATCAAATGAAATGGAATTTGAAGGCTTAAAAAGAATGCTGAAGCGTTGGAATAATGAAAAACGTGTAAATTTTTTTGTGCATGATGGCGATGTCAAAATTGTTTCTACAATCAAAAATACGTTCAAAGGTATCAGAGAATACAGAGATCCTGGACATTTTCTTAACAATATACAGAAAAAGCTCAAACTGCCAGAATTCAGAATCTTATCTAGCATTTCAAAGAATTTATTGCGTTGGCTTAGGCAACTTCTCAATGACACACATATGTCAATTAAAACAAAGAAGTTTTTATGGTTGAATTCCGCTAAACATTATGCCGGAAATCATAAATTTTGTCCAGATCCTGAAAAATGCAAGATGATTAAACCATGGAAATATGCAAAAAATAAAACTGCTATAAAAACACTTAAAAAATTCCTCGAAGATACCGTAAAAATCTTTGATATGGTAAAAAAGATTCATTCAACTCAAGTAGTTGAATCGATAAACCATATCAAAGCAATGCTTGCTAATAAAAATATTAATTGGCATGCTTCTTGGCCAATTAGGATGGCAGTCACAATATTGCATTTCAATGAAAGTATGTTTGAAACGATTGTAGCAATAAGATACAGGTTAAATTTACCAACAATGCCAGAAATGATGAACAGATATTTCAGAATGTATGATACAACAAAAGATTTAATCAAAGCATTCAAAAATTCAAAGCAAGTTCAAAAAAAGTTTGCGGCATTAAGAGCTATAAAGAGAGGTCTTCAAGCTACCGATGATCGTATTACTCTTAAATCACATAAATAATTATTAAATTTATTTCACCCTCAAAACATCATAATCTTGCACCTTCTTTGAATAAACACTTTCACCTTCTATTTTTAATTAATGTTTTTTAATTGTCCAAAATTTTTAGATTATATAAGATATAATTTTTTATAAAAGTATTATTTTCTAAAAGATAAGTATATATTCTTAATCACAAAACCTAGCATTTTATCATATCTATATATCAGCTTCCTAAATATAATACTCATATAGTTAGTATGATTTTAATGTTTTTGAACATGAAACGAAAATATGATTACAATCATATAACATAATGGAGTTATTGATATAACTTATATGCATGATACATTAAGAAGTCTTCCAACAATATAGATATAGTTGTAGATTCCTATGATTCCTTTTATATTGTGAGATAATAACATTTTTATGCTGTCAGGAGCCTATGAGTGCCCATCCTTAAACCAATTACTGAAATAAAAATTTTTTCATCTGTTGAAGAATTTAATGACTATTATGCTAATAATAAAAAATTATTTGAAGAATTGACAACGTGTAAATTGAATAAAATGTTTAAAGTTGATGGATTCAAAATTTCAAAAATAAAAGGAGTGGTTAGTTTGAAATCTATTCCTCAATCAAGAATCACCTCATTAATGAAAATAGATGATTTAACAAAAAGAATAGAAGAGATTGAAGAAAGAATAAATCAAATAATTGATTTCATAAATTCAAATAATCATTAGTTTCTTAAAGTTCAATGTTGAACTCATCAAATTCATCTTCATCATTACCATTACCTTTAGCGAGTTTATTTACTCTTTCAACTTTATCTTTGATAGTCTTTCGTTTAATTTTTTCTGAAGTTTTTCGTTACCAAGTTCTAAAATTTTACATGGATGATATTTAAACCCGTTAAATTCTTTTTCCTCAGTTTTAATCATTAATCTACAAAGAACTTTAGTGAGGTGGTTTTGTTGTTTAAACCATTTATCCTTAATATTTGTTATAAATTCAATATCCGGAATTAATTCCCAAATTTTTGAATTTTCGATTAATTTACCATCAAATGCAAAAGCAATAGGTTTAATATTAAACTTACCTTTATAAAATAAACTTTGTATGTAATCATCAAAATAAACGTCTACTTGTTTAACCTGGGTGAGAATTGGTGAAAGTTTATCCATTAATTGATTCACAGTCACGAATTTTGATTCACTCATTTCTTACGAATTAAAAAAATAAATTATTCAAAAATGTAAGAAGTTTATTTTTTAAAGTTTATTTTTTATTCATGAAAATAATTATTTCTGATTTCTTTTACTCTCTCGTATATACTAGATTTAAAGAATTCAGAACATTTCCCATAATCTCCTAAATGTTTTCTTATCCCTAACGTGTGCCAGTTATTATATGAAACTGAATAAACTTTATCTTTATCTTTACACCTTTCATCACTTCCAATATATTTATATCTCAGTTTTGATTTAGCATTTTCATATTCATTAGCGTTTAATAATTCACAGTCTTCCTTTTTAAATTGATGTTTAAGATATTCAGGATTTAATACTCTACGTTTATATGCTCCTAACTTAGTTCTAAAGGTTTTTCTACAAAATTTAGGAATTCCATCCTCTTTAATGTCATCAATGATTTCCATTTCATTATTTTCAATTTCTTCTTCTCGTTTATGAGGTCTTTGATTATGACTCCATTGATTCCATGAAATTAAATATTCTTTATCATTATATTTATACCTCATTAGCTTATTTTGGCTTTCATATTCATTTAATAATTCACAATCTTCATTTTTAAATTGAAGTTTAACCCATTCAGGATTTAAACAATGTTTAATTAATCATGGAATATCTGACATCATCTATATATATATATAGATTATTTTATAAAAGATAAAAAAATAAATTATTTTAAAATTAATGTTAATTTTTTTAATGATTTATAAATAAATATATTTTAATGCATCGTCTATATATAGATTTAACAAAAAAAGTCACTAAACCCGTCATATCCTACTACTATTAAGGTCAGGTCGTAATATCGAAATTTTCATTTTCCATATTATTTAAATAAGTGTTATTAACTTTGTCTTCGATTCGTTTTTGGAAATCTTTCTTTTAAATTTTAGATTTCCCCTCACTTATTTATAGTTTTTTATTAAGCACGCCTTCATTCAAATATTTTCTCAAAATTGAAATAATTGAATATTGAAAGCGGATTAAATACTAAATATCACTAATATCCGTTTGATGTTCAATGTTGAACAGTCTCATGGGGAAAGTCTAGAATTCCAACAGCATCAATCCTAAAAGCTGCAGTGAACTCCATAAAAATTTGAGTCATCTTTGAAATTGTTTTTTCTAACTTCTTCAACAGGAAACATTCTGTTTTGGAACTTGGTAAGCTTTTGAATAACAAGGCAAACTTTGAGAGCAGATGCAGATGAGTCCAAAATCAGGTCTAATAAAAATTAATAAAAAATTGTAATATAAAAGAAAATGTTTAATCAGAAATTAAATATACAATTGAGTAACCACGATCATAACCTGTTGTGAATTTTGAATACTTCTGCAGTTTGGTATAATACGCTTAACATGGAAATTGTTAGTAGTTTAGTTCGAAGTATTTGCTAAATGATGTGAGCATAGGTAGTATATCTTAGGAAATTAATAAAAATAATTACAACGGCATCAATTGTCGTAAAAACAAGAAGTATTAAATTTGCTGTTATTCGTTGAATATAAATTTATTTCTCTCCAACATTAACACTGTAGCCTTATCAATTATATTTATATCTTCTTGAGCAATAAGTGGTTCTTGACTATTTGCTTTCAAAATAGGATCAAATTCCAAAAATGCTTTAAGCATGTCTGTTTTCGATTGAATTTGTAATTTATTTTTAACTTCTTTACCATCATAATGGAATTTTTCTTTTTGATTTGTTTCTGTCGTTTTATAAGTGGAATTGACTTCATCTTCTTGGTAACGTCCTTTCTGGAAAGAATCATACTTGTAAGTTGTGTTTCTTACTTGCGCATGAGAGCTCTCATTATTTGGATCATTGTGTTTTAATTCTTGGATCTTTTTGCCACTAACTTGAAATATGCATGTATTGCTATCTGAGTTACTCATTGTTTTTGATTTCAAGGATGATACACGCCTGTAAATATTTTCTCCAACTCAAATTTAGCTTTTAAATTTTCCATCTAAATTGATGCCCCTAATATCTATTCTCCTCCATCTGACATTTAAATGGTCAAAAATAATGTCTCTATTATAGAGCAGATCTGTTATGTCATGCTCTTTCTTATTTTGACCAAATCTGAATTTCAATTGTTGTATAATTGCCAAAATCATAACTTGTCAAAATATTCTATCCAAAACAGAGATAGGCAAAAAAAGATGTCGTGTGAATTGAACTCAACTTTGTGAATTCTTCAAAAAAATGTAAAATATAATTATTTTTTCGTTGAATTTTTTGCATGCTAAGTAGTGTCAATGTGTAAACCTCTCAATTTTATCGTCGGGGAAGCAACACAATTCCCTCAAAAATATTGAAAAAATATAGAAAATAAAATGAATTAAGATGTACTTAAAATGAGAAATAGATTATGATATTAGATTTTAGAAAAAACAGACTTTTGATATAACTTTTGAGAATTTCATATAAAAAAAAGCATTTAAAAATAAATTTAAATATCTTATTTATTTACTATTGTAAATATATTCTGAGATTTTTAGAAAAAAACACTTTTCATAAGTATTCAATATTTGAGAATACGGTCCAAAAAAAATAGATTCTCTTATATTTGCTTATATAAAAGGAAACTCTCTATCAGATGCGAATGCATGAATTCAGCACCTCTGATAGAGAGTTTCCTCTTATATAAGCGGATCTTTTTCATGAGTTATTGTTAATATAAAAACATAAAAAGCTACCAATATGAGAAATTAAACCCTGCGAGGTGCCAGTCTAGAACTGGCGCTTCGCAGGGTTTAATTTCTCTTGACAAATGACAAAACTTGTTCGCAATTGTGAACCATTGCGAGCAATTTTGCCAGATATCTGGAAGGAATTGCTCCTTATGATATATGCATTGTAACTGTATATATCATAAAGAGCAATTCCTTCAATTAAACGCAAAAACTTTGGTGCAATCGTTGCTGATTGCACCAAAGTTTTCGAACTTTCCCGAGGGAATTGGAGGGTGAGAGATACATAGTCTATCTATGTACCTCCCACCCTCCAAATCCCACTCTAAATGGGAGAAACTTTGTTCGCATGTTATCTATTCAAACAAAGTTTCTCCATTTAGAGAAGGAATAGGAGCCTACCAGGCACTGATATATAATCAGTGCTTTGTAGGCTCCTATTCCTAATAAAAATTTGAAAACTTTGGAGCATTTGATTATTGTATTTTGTCAAGAGAAATTCAACCCTGCGAAGTGCCAGTTCTAGACTGGTGCCTCGCAGGGTTTAATTTCTCATATTGGTAGATTTTGATGTTTTTATATTAACAAAAACAAATGAAAAAGATTTGCTTATATAAGAGGAAACTCTCTATCAGAGGTGCTGAATTCAGGCATTCGCATCTGATAGAGAGTCTCCTTTTATATAAGCGAATATAAAAGAATCTATTCTTTTTTGGAGCGTATTTTCAAATATTGAATACTTATGAAAAGTGTTTTTCCTAAAAATTTAATATAATGCTTAGCACAATATATAAAATTAAAATATCTATAATTATTTTCTATATCACACTTTTCATTACACCTTGAAAAGTCTTCTCAAACTCTATTTTTAATTATTTTTTAGATATATCTCAAGTGTGATTATTCAAAAACTCATATAGACTATATTTATTTTTTTCATTCAAAAAATTATATGAGAATCTCAAATTAACTTTCAAATTTTTTATTTTAAAAACATATTAATAATCATATTTTAAGATACTTTTTCGCCCAAAAAATAATCGTACTTCCTCGATGATTAATAGGCTCTCAATTTCTATCGTTGACACTACTTAGCATGCAACAAATTTAAGCGATATAGGTAAAACAGACCATGATATAAAAATTTTCAAAGATTGAAATTCATTGGTCAATTCATTACGAAATTATGACATTCCAAAAATTATTTTGTAACTGATATTTTAGCCGATATGTATAAAAATTGATTATCAAAATTGTAAGACTGAAATTTCAGACTTTTCAGAAATTTAATATTACTTCAAGAGTTTGTGATTAATGCATCATTTTTAGCCAAAAATAAAATTCAATTGACTTTATAAAAATTTACATCTTCAGAAAATAATTTCATTTCATATTCCTCATGTCTAATGAAGGGAATGAAACTGTGAAAGTGCAAGCAGAGGGCAGCTCTACATATGTTTCCGTCAGCGTACAAGAGGCAGCTGTTGCCGCTACATCATCGGAATCATATTCTTCAAAAACTACAACATCATCGAATGTTAACATGTCTGAAGAAGAAAAGGCAAAACTTATGGCAGATATTGACAGAATCAGACAAGCAGCTAAAAGTTCTTCTACAAGTTCTTCTTCATCAAGTCATTCCGTTTATGTTCAAGGCGAAAGCACTCGTACATCAAGTTCATCTGCATCTGGCGGAGTTCAGGAAAGCCAGACAGTCTACAGCCAAAAGGGATATTCTGGCGCTTCCCAGAAAGCAGAAAGCCGTGATGGTGATGATGTTCAAGTTACATCATCTGCTGTATACCACGGAGAATCTTCTCAGGCATCAATGGTTAACAACAATGGTGTCGTAGATATTCAAGGAGAGCATGTTTCTGTTACAGGCGTACGCGAAGGTGATCAAATTTCAATTTCGGGCGAACGCGTTGTTTATGGCACACCAGAAGGTGGAATCCAGATTGAAAAGGCTGAGATTACAGAAACTGGTAAAATACTTGACCAATCAAACGGATCATCTGGTTTATTGGCTGCCGATTCATCTAAATCAGCCGCATTATCAGAAAAATCCGTAGCATCTTCATCAGTTTCATCCTCCTCTGTATCAATGAAAGCAGCATCTTCAACATCAGTTTCTTCATCATCTGTCTCAAAGAAGTCTGTCTCTTCTACATCAGTTTCTTCATCATCTGTCTCAAAGAAGTCTGTCTCTTCTACATCAGTTTCTTCATCATCTGTCTCAAAGAAGTCTGTCTCTTCTACATCAGTTTCTTCATCATCTGTCTCAAAGAAGTCTGTCTCTTCTACATCAGTTTCTTCATCATCTGTCTCAAAGAAGTCTGTTTCATCTTCTTCAGTTTCTTCATCATCTGTCTCAAAGAAGTCTGTTTCATCTTCTTCAGTTTCTTCATCATCTGTCTCAAAGAAGTCTGTTTCATCTTCTTCAGTTTCTGCTGCATCAATTTCTTCATCACAGCGTTCTTCTGCTGCTTTAACTTCAAAGTCATCAAAATCAGCAGCATTGACTGAGGAATCAGCTGCATCATCACAAGCTGTTTCATCAGGAAATAAAGATGAAAACGAAGAGGAAGATGAAATAACGGTTGTCCAAACAAGAGATATCAACTTAGAAGATGGCGAAGAAGCAAGAGATGTCTTTGTATCTGAGAAATACTCTGTCTCTCGTACTGGAAATGCTTGCTTATGCAATTGGCTTATCATTATTGCAATTATCATCTTAATTATTGACGCAATTAGGATTTTCAGCAGAAAAGACGTAAATAAGAAATAAACAATTCTATTTTGTTCTCCGGAATTATAAAATATAACAATTTTTGAATGAATTGAAATTTTATTTGTAAAATTGAGTATAACTTTGTATGTAAAAGAAAAGGGGGGAACTTCGTCGACAACAAAGGTATCGACCAAAATTGCTCCCATTATGCTTGGCATATGAAGTATAGTAATAGTGTGTATGGACTCATAGAATGACTTTCGTTTGATTTCGAGATATATTATCATCTTCTAAAATATCCATACTTTACTTGATAACTCATATATATTATCGTATTATGAAAATTAAACGAAAAATATGGCTCAAGACAAGCAAAATTCGATGCTAAAAAAGTAAATTGTTTAATGATTAGGGTGCTTTCAGGTATTTTTCTGAAGTAACACTTTATTCGTTTTTCTTTCTGCATCTGTATATAAAACATGCACAAATAAGTATTCATAATTAAAAATATTATTCGAATTGGGTAATTAAATCGTTAGATCTTAGATTTTATTAATCATTTCTTCTTAAAATGAGACTGTGGTAATGGGAACTGTGTATGAGAGTTGGAGTATTGTTAAATTGCGCGAAATGTTGATAAGTTTCAAAAACAATTTGCAGTATGTTCAAGTATATTAGAATTTAATGATATGTGGTAACATCGACTGCAAACAATCGATTTTAAGTGATTGATGAAAATCGATATCAATATTTAAAATTTTCGAGGTTTTTTTGACTGATAGCAATTGCTTTTGACACCCAGAATGAAGTTCTCCTTGGTGAGTAAACTATGATAACGTTTTTTTCAATTCTCGATTTTTTTGGAAAAATGAGGTTAATTTTTTTTGAAAATTTATAATTTAGAGAGAAATAAACCATTTTCATTGTATTATAAATCGATAAAACCTCTTTATTTTTGTTATTCTATAATATTTCTACTAAAATATATCACTTATACAGCAAAATCATATAATTATTTTTCAAAGATATAGAAAAGAAGTATATATATTCCTAAATTATAAATCAGTCATAGTTTACTATCAAAAACAATATATTATTCTATATAGATAACCATCCATTGTTAGTAATTTAAAATTATTTCTGGTTCAAATTAAGGATTATCTTCACATGTTTAGAAAATATTGTAAACATCTAGAAAACAATCAATAATATCATGATTTTATTAACAGATGAGTTCAAGATATATATTGTGATTTGATTTTCGATAATAAATCTGAATCAAATGTATATTAAACTCGCACATTTAGTCTTATTATCATAATAATGTTATTAGTTAGTGACTATGGCTACAAAACAAGCAACATTAGATCTGTATCTCATAATCAAACGGAAGTTAAGCTAAGATATTTGATATTTTATCACCTGGTAGTATGCATGATACTATACCAGAATGACTAGTCAATCTGTTGTTTTAATATCGTTTTAAATTTTTTATGCCAAAATAGTACTCTGGCTATCATTGGTAATACGTAAGGTTGCTACTGTTGTAATATTTCGAAAAAATAAATGTATCAACTTTAATGCAAGATATGATGAGCTGAACATCGAATAATTGGGTTTTTGTAATATTAATATTCTTTAGTCCCTAGTATATCATTGTTTCATACTAATAACGTGGATCAATTCCGTTTCAATGATCAGATAAAGCAGAAACAATATACTCAGGTGCCACTTTTTTAGTCTAAAAAATGAGTTCCCCCCTTTTTGTAAAAGATATTACAGATTATCTGTACTTGCTATTTCTATGTAAAAAATCGATTTTAATTTTTCACACACCTTCAAAAATTTTGATGATTGAAAGATTTGAAGAGAAAGCTTTCGTAGGATGGATGAAAGAAACTGGAAACATATTCACTGGTGATGAATATCATTTCAGGCTTGGAATATGGCTTTCAAATAAGAGATATGTTCAAGAAAAAAACAGAGTAAACTTGGGATTTACATTGGCACTCAATAGATTTGCGCATTTAACAGAAAATGAATATAGATCTATGTTAGGTTACAAATATGGTCATAAATCTTATCCAATAACCAAAAATATTAAAAATGATGTTCCTACAGAAATAGATTGGAGAGAGCAAGGAATTGTCAACAAAATTAAAAATCAAGGTGCTTGTGGTTCATGTTGGGCATTTTCTGCGATTCAAGTAATTGAATCACAAGTCGCAAAAAACCAAAAACAATTATATGATCTTTCTGAACAGAATTTATTAGATTGCGTAACATCATGCTTTGGATGTGGAGGTGGATGGTCCCCTGGAGCCTTAGAATATGTTTATGAAAAACAAAATTCTAAATTCATGCTCACAACTGATTATCCATATACTGCTGTCCAAGGGACTTGCAAGTATGATAATAAGAAAGCTAAATACTTTGGAATGCTGGAATTAGCCGGTGTTTCAAGGAAATCTGAAACCGAACTTGCAAAAGCTGTAGCTACATATGGCCCTGCTATGATCAGCATTGATGCTTCTCAACACTCCTTCATGTTATATAAAGAAGGAATCTACGATGAGCCAAAATGCTCAGAAGAAGATCTTGACCACGCCGTTGGTTGCGTTGGTTACGGTGTTGAAGGAGAGAAAGACTACTGGATTGTCAGGAATTCTTGGGGTGAAGTTTGGGGAGAAAAAGGTTACGTTAGAATGATCAGAAATAAGAATAATCAGTGTGGAGTTGCAACAGAAGCATATAATGTTTTCGTCAACTAAACATTTATAGTCATATTTACAATTATAAAAAAACATTTTTTAACTTGTAAATTATTATGGAAAGCAAAAGGCTCAAGTTGCTGTACTAGATCTCTATCTTATTCGATGTCATTATGATGTTAGTGCTAATATTCTTATAAATCAGCAAGTTTAAAATTTATCTTGAACAATATAACGAGACTTTGAGTTTCAGAACATAGAAATTTAAGGGAAATTACGATGTTGACAAAAGAGCATAGATATATATGATAGAAAAAGGATTTTGAGAATTAGACATTCAAATATTGATTGAAGGAGAAGCAATTAAGATTAGTAGGGAAAATTCTGATTGGTTCATATATTAGTTTGTCAATAATTTTGAAATAATAAAAATATCGAAATAAAAAAATTTGGATGAATTCGCAAATTTATTAACAACACTTTATTATCACATAGTATAATTTAAAAACAAACCAAATTCGGGCAAATATCGAGTAATGAGGGGAACTTAACTCTTGGTGGCTGTGGAGGAAGGGGATCCCTTACGAATGAGGTAGGGATTACAGGCTGAATCATTTTTTCGAACCTTACGTTTTCCTGAGGTATGAAATATGGAACATACATTGGCTCAATCATTTGTGGATATGGTTGAACAGGAGGGATGTCATAGCAGTCAGGTGAAGAGCAAGCTTCGGCTATCTTGGCTTCATTTTTCATATTTGATTCTCTTCTCTCAAGGAGACGCCATCTGTTCTTAGCAGATGTCTCACTACGACCATTGAGCGATATGCAAACAATGGCCCACTTTTTGCCGTACTCTTTAATCTTCTGGCGAAGTATATTATCTTCTTCTGGTGTCCAATCAGATGTATTGAGTGATGGCATAAGGTATTCTTTATATCTGTCGCGGCATTGGCGAGGGGTTCTGTTTTCCATACACCTAGCTATGATTGTCCAGTCAGCATCGCCGAGAGATTCAACAAGCTGCTTAAGCTTTTCGTCTTCTTTTTGTGTGAAAGGTTGCCTTGGTTTACGTGGAGGCTTCACCATGGTAGTTTGAGGAGAATTCGACATTTTGATTTTAAACCCTTCTTTTTTTGAGAGGATTGAAATTTTCTCAAAAACCGCTATAGGAAATTCTCGAAACAATATCAAGGACATAAAACTTATCATATACTCGATCAATTTTTTTCAGAGTACAATTCCATTGAAAAGTTTACAAATTCCGAACAAAAATTGACATTTGAATATCTCATTCCACATTTTTCCTTTGGAAATAATTGTCTGATGATATAATATAAGAAGAATATATATTGTTGATTTTGTCAACGTTGATAATTATGATCGGAAAAGTTGCTTCTCAATTAATTTGCAATCGACCAAATAAAAAATGAAAAATTATAGAATCGTAATTAGAATCTAAAATTGGTACTATTGTTATAAATTTATGCTCGTACTTAAATCTTTTATGTGAAAAAAATTTTATAGAAAATAGTATGTTCTACATTGTATTTAAGGGTTTCGTTTTGCTAAAATTGTCACTTTTATAGCATATTTGTTTTTGGATGTTTTGCGAAACCAAAAAAAAAAAAAAAACTATGATATACAATGTGTGTGTAAAGAAAATACTTTATTTACTAGTTAAAAAATCATTTGGTATTGATCAAGTTATTTTTTCTGGATAAGATATTATATGGATAATTGGATAGAAAATACAATTATATAATCTTGTACCTGGTTTAATTAAGCTAATTGTCATCAGAAACTTGTAATTTTTATGAATTTCAGATTTTTCTTTTCATTACTGCTTTTCTTAATAGGTCAAGTTCTTATTTACGTTATAAAGTATGATATTTACAAATATCAAGTTATCATGTTTTTTGAGAAATTATGAGAAACAAACAAAAATGAAAAAGATAGGAATAGCAATGAATATTGATGTGGGTATAGAAAATGTAAGAGATATGAATGCAAAGCAATCAGTATTTAGGATATTGACCATAGATTTCGAAAAAAAAATGCTGCATATTGAGCGAAAACTATGATTATATTATAAGGCTGTCATTTAAAGCATAATGAAACTATTCCCTTTTCATTTTAATCGAATAAGATAGTAAAGATTTTTGAATTAGCTAGAAACTGATGAGATGTTTTCACAAATCAGATTTTTAATCTCTATAATGCATAATTCACTCAATATCTCAATTTTGATATTGCGAGATATTTTTGCTATCGGTTTCGCAATTTTGACACAATAGCAAGAGGGTTCTATAAGCATTATTATCAACGTAGAATCTGAATATCATATCAGAAAATGTCGCAAATCTGACATTTACCCGACCAAATAGCAAAAATAATTGAATACTTTTCGCAAAAACTTTAAAAATCGATAAAAATATGAAATATAGATATTAAAGAGACTTTTTATATAATATTCATAAAGATTTTCCAAAAATATGATACCGCAAAATTAAAAAAGTGACGTCTTGAGTGGAGTCAAAGGTCGAAATTGCTAGCTAAATGTTTTTTTAGCGAAATTGCGTATTGTACGTTTTTTTCGCAAAACGAAACCCTTATTGTATTGTATGTAATCGATATATTCCGATAATTCAATCGTATCAAAAAAATATGCAAACGGTGATTCAATTTTGCATCATTATCGTACAACAAGCCATTCTGACAAACCATCAAGTTTAGTGCGGCTTTAATAAGAAGCGTTAGAAAATATCTATGGCTAACTTATTTTTAAATAATTTTAATAAAATTTTTCATCTGATAATGAATATTTACGTTCTTTGAGATATATTTCAAAAATTATGCTTCACATAATATTTTTGATGATAATAATATGCAAAATACGAAAATAAACAAAATCTGATTTTTCATTATTGATTTTTGTTTTTAAAGAATTCGAATATTTGGTATTCATACTATGTACTATTTAGAAATTAATGGTATTTAGATTTTTATCATTTACTCTTTTATTGTGATATCTCAAGATGACGTTATGGCATCACAAGAATGATATTATAGCATTGAATTGTACTATGTTGGGAAAAGATGATTCTGTCATGTTTGATTGTGCATATATGTTATTAAAAAATAGCTTGATATGGATATTATCTTTTAAATGCATGCTCATTTTTAAGATATATATATGTACATACCAAAAACATGAGGAACAAAAACACTGACAATATTGAGAAGAAAATCTGGTAAAAGAATCACAGATCTGGGAAGGTATGGGAAATGGATGAAAATAGGATATCATACTCCATTATGAATAGTAGATGTATCCTACATCAATGAATCATCTGGGAAACGAAGTTTTTCACTCCAAAAATTTATTATCAAAAAAAACAGAACATATTACCTCAGGGAAACGTTTCCCAGCACTTTCTCACCAGAATCGGCCACCATAAATGAGTTGCACGTCATTTACAAATTTATACTACCAACTTTCATTAAGGGTGCACCCGTATGTACGTTTATTTGAGAGGAGGAGGATTACCCTCTCAATTTTGAGGGATTCGTTAGTTTATTTTCTCGATGAATATGCAATAAAATTTGATTTTTACCTTATCAATATACTTCATATAATATACACATGTTCATGTAAAAACTTTTTTCCAAAATCCTGAGGAATTAAGGGATTTTTGAATTTTAAGAATTTTTTTCGAATTTTTTCGAAAAAAAAAATATTTTCAGAACAGCCTTAACGGCTAAGATTTAGGAACAATGTTAAGTATCAAAAAGAAAGGAGGTCTGATATAGACAACATATATCGTTGAAGGTTGAAAAAATCTCTAATATTTGAGCCCAAAATTTCAAATTTTAATTTTTTGAAAAAAGAGGCCACATATATGTACGTTTATTTGAGAGGAGGAGGATTATATTTTTGAAAGGGTGAAACATTATGAATATGTTAATTATATAATAATATGTATTATTATAAAAAAGAAAAAATAAAGCACGTTAAAATTTTTCTTTCTTGATTTTTTACAAAATCTACTTAGAATTATGCAAAATATGACTAAATAATTATAAATTTCAAGTTAAATTTTAATTTTGATAAATAATTTAAATTTCAAAATATCAAGTTCAGTTCGACTATGTATGTAGTAATTCCTCAATAAAGTGCCAAAACCCTATTAAAATATATGAACATTTTCAACATTTTAATGTTTTTATTTAAAAATTTGTTGGAATATGAGCTTCAAACAATTATTATGTAAATAAAAATAATTAAATATATGTATTTATTCGTATTATAACCGTAGTAAGTCGATTCTTCCTTTCTTCTACTGAGGTTTGAATTTGATTTCGAATTGTAAAGAGATTCAAAGGGAAAATACTAGCGGATAAAAACTACCTCCATGAAAGGGTCAGAATGGAGTCAAGTTGTATTTTTTGATATTTTTTGCTTTTCGAGCCTAAATAGGTAGCCAAGATAATGCCTAAAAATAAGGTTCTAAATTCTGAAGTTTACATGATCCTCTCGTGTGCACCCTTAAATGATGTGTTACAAATTACCCAAATTTGTCCAATATCCCCCCTCATAATTTTTCGAAAACAATGAAATCTGATTCTAGTATGTAAGTCAATCATCTTTAGTACCGCTAAAAACGATGAAGTTCTCAAATTTTATAATTTGAGAAGTGTCAAAATTTATTCGATTTCTGCAGAATTTTCCCGACTCTTTGATGGTTTTCTGAAAAAGAATCATTTGTGGCCCAATGCAGAAGGATGGATTTTCCATTCCATCCATCAGTACTTTATTCCAGTACCTCCCATCTGACCAGATCATTAAGATACCATCAGTCAACACAGAATTCAAAAAAGAACCACCAAAAAAGCTCAAGTTTGGTTACGAAGAAGATTTACTTTTGTACAAAATTGTGATATCTAGAAGCTGCAAGAACTGGAACGAAGTTGCTGCCCAAATGGGAACTAGAAATGCAAGACAATGTCGTGAAAGATGGAATAATTACTTAAATCCATTCTTAAGAAATGACCCTTGGTCCCCTCAAGAGGATGAGTTGCTTATCTCTAAATATAAACAGTTTGGACCCAAATGGCGAAAAATTGCTCAATTTTTTGTCAATAGATCTGATAACTCTTTAAGAAATCGCTATTTCGTGCTCGAAAGGAAGCTAAATAGGAACCCTAGTGAATCATCAACTGTGTCTGATGAATAATTGTTTATAAATCTATCATTACTTATTATTTAATTTATTATTTACGTTGTGCATCGCACATTTATTAATAGTCAAGTTAATTAATACTAAATTTTAAGTATTTTCACTAAAAATATTATTCATTTAGTAATTTCATAAATATAGTCTAACAAATTTGTGACTCTTACTATCAAAATATGTTCCTTATGTAAAAATCATATATAATATATCCAATCCAAAATTAATCAAATAAAATGCTATTGATTACTTGTAACGTAGCAAATTTGATATAAATTTGGATCTTTATTTGATTGATATGAGTAAGCTAAATCTATGTAATTTAGAAACCGTAAATTTTTAATTTTAACTTGTATAATGCAGAAATATTGCCTTTTGAATAGGACCTATCAATTCTGAGATGTGTTTTTGAAGAATAATATGCGTGTAACTCCTCTTGTATTAAATAAAATTTCGATTCAATATTTTTAGCAATTCTTTTTACGAATAGCAATATTATGATCATAGTATATGTCTATTGTTGATTGCCTAGATCCATTAGCTTGGATGTTAATTTGAAATTAGAAAATTTACATTACAAGAATAATTTTGATTACAAATGTCATGGTCGATTATATATAATAGAATTTCTCTAAAAATGGTATAATTTCGTAGTTATGTAATTGAAGATTCTTCAAAACTTTATTAAATTTTTAGCCAATTTCTTCATCTTAGTAATCTACAACATATTAAAATGCTAAACGTTCGAAAAATAATGTTGATAATACGATTATCATTCAAACCCTATCGGTTGTTTTTGTCAGTTTTCTGCTATTGAAAGCTTGAACGATAAATAAGCTTTTGAGGAAAAATATACCTTCATAATGGATCCTGGGGAGTTCCAGGGTCTTTTGAACAGATTGAAGGACAAAAACTATCTTGCGGCAGCTCAGCAGGAATATGACAATCTTCTTGAGACTGATGTTTCCCAAGTAATCCAGTTACATTATATTATATTAGAAGAATGTGAAGATCAAATTCTTCAAAAATTGTCGGCTACACTCCTTACCAAAATTTTCCAGAAATTAACCGATGATGATCTTGCTGAGCTGTCTCCGTTTATTAATAATGTAGTTCAAACAAGAACAATCTTACTCTTTCAGAATGAGGACTCGAGCATCGAGCTCATGGATTTAATATCTTATTTAGCAGCGACAATAGCGATTAGGTATATCAGAAACGGGGAAATGTTAAATTTTCTTCCCTCTTTAGTTGTTGTAGCAAAAACATTACATCCTATATTAGCGCCTGCAGCCATTAACTGCATTGAACAGATAGTATCGCAAGTTCCAACAGATATTGAAAAAATATCAACCGAACTTATTCAAGCTTTAGTCACAGGAATAGAGCAAGAAGTTTCGGAAGTATTTTTATTTTATGGATTGAACTTGCTTTATACAATTATATTGAGTTTGCATCCAAGAATTAACCTTTCCGAATATTCCGCTATAATTACGCCCGCTGTAAATGATTTAATCGGTACGATCTACCTTCACAAAGCTCTTCTTCGTTTATCTTCATTTGTCCAGCGCCGTGGAACTTTCTTTGGAGATAATCTTCAACACATTGTCAATCTTTTAGCCAATATGATCTCAAACGAAGAAATAGACAATGGTCCAAGAATAGTTTCCATGGATATCCTTACAACTGTTGCAAAAGCAACGGGAGCAGCTTTTATTCAATTTCTTGAAATTGTTTTCACAGCTCTTTTAATGGCATTAGATTCAGACTTATCAGAAGATTACGTTGAAGATTCTGTTCCTAATACAGACCTTATCGACTCAATAGATTCGACCTTTCAATCTTTAGTCAGTATATTTAGCCAGAAGAACCAACTTCAGAGTCTTGCTTTCCACTGTATAGAGGCTGCAATAAACAGCGATGAATGGCAATGCCGAAGATCTGGTTTATCTTTCCTCGGCAAAGTCATACACGTACTCCACAACTCACTCGAATCGCACCTCGACCCTATAGCATCAAGCGTTTTCGAACATTTTACAGATAGTTCACCTGCAGTCAGAATTGCTGCATATGATACATTCGCTGAAGCTTCTGTATCTTTCTCACCCCACATAGAGCAAAACTACCACGCAGACGTAATGGGGACCCTAATATCGGCCATCAATAACGAATCCGTGGCATCGACCAAAAATGCTGCCATTAAAGCGTTGTCACGTTTTTGTGAAAATTGTACACCTGATATTTTAGAGAAATATTCAGCGGATTTGATGAGACAATTGGTCGCAACTGTAGAAAGCCAACAACCTCAGCAGCAAATATTGATTATGAAATGCGTCTCATATTTATGTGAAGAATCGCAAGAGAGCTTCTCACAGTACTATACATATTTCATACAGTGGCTAAAGGAGATCATAGAAACTAAAGTTAGCGATCATGAACTCGTATTATTAAAGGCAATGGCAATTCAGAACTATCCGATCATTGGAGAAGCAATTGACAAGGAAACATTCATTCCTGATGCTCAAGAGCTCTTAGATACCCTTCTAGAAGAAGATTGGGAACAAATGTCAGACGAAGAATTCGATGCCGTACAAAGCGCAATCAGAGAAATCGCTTATTACATTCCTGAATTTTTCACAAACTACGTACCGCCAGTTCTCAACAATCTCATGAAAATAATTTCGCATGATCTCAAACCATCGCGTTCTGATGCACATGGAGAGTCCGCCTCTGCATGCGAAGTGCTCTCCATCGACAATCCCGATATAACTTACGATAAACATCAGCTAAATACGATCAAAGAAGCGATTCTTACAGTAAATGCCATTTTAGAGGAAAATCCAACCGAAACACTTGACTTTTCCCTCCAAATTGGTGAGATTTGCTACAAGATTTGTACTTATTCTTTCTTCCCTGACGTTCAAAATGCGGCCATCGGATGTTTCATCCGACTTTTGAGTAATTTCATCAAGGAAGAGAGCGAAGGTACAGAAGACTTCGCAATACGACTACAAGCAACTGTTATTTCCCTACTTTTACCACAAGTTATAAATCCAGTTGTAACAATCAATCTTTTAGAGCTTCTTATTGATACTATCGACGCTCTGAGCCAATTAGAATACAATTGCTCATCAGTTGTCCAACACATTGCTGAAATTGCGCTTATGCAATTTCAAGCATCAGTACAACGCAGAAATGACTTAAGTGAGAACGAAACATGCAATGGGGAGAACGCAACAGAGTATTTGCACGAAGACGATCTCATTTTTTCACTTGGTTTAGCTGTCAGATGTTGTTTTAGGAATTTTCCTGACGTTACATTAAAACTTGTACCGGAACTATCGAAGATAAATGATCCTATCTTCCAGTTGATGCTTAGAACTGATGCTGTTTGCGTAAGAGATACTTCTGTACAAGAAATTTCCCAATTAGTGCAAATGATATTGGAAAACGCGTCAGTTAACAGGATGAACGTAATCAGAGTTGCATATATTTGCTTCGCGAACCTTGTGAATTCAGCAAAAATCACTCTTCCCAATGAATTACAAGCAATTTCGCAAAATGCAGTTGCTTTGATCCGCCATTTCTTAAACGAAGAGGATGAAACAGCTCTCCTGGCTATAGATGGTGCATGTGTGGCCTTGGCATCGATATTTAGAACACAAGACGAGATTGATCCGGAAATCTTGCAGTTGTGGTTCGACCAACTACCTCTGGAGAAGACAATGGAGGAATCTGAGATAGTTATCGAGTTCCTCATCGAAAGAGTTATGGCGGAAGGCCCAATAATCTTGCAAGATGACAATATGGAGCGATTGTTGACTGTTTTGTCGACTGCAGCAATTGATCCAAAGCTTTCCCATGAAGTACAAATAAAGGCAGCCCTTTGCGTCAAATCATTGTCGAGAGTTGACCAATTTAAGAATTCTTTCGAAATAGCGCACTACAGCTTGGACACAGAAAAAAGAATTGCTGTACAAAGATGCTTGGAATATGAAGCTGGATCGTAAGAATTTGATTTCCAATAATATTGGCGCGGACCTCTCAAAAATTGAATAGAATTGATAAGTTTACACGGGACCATTAATGAAGCGAAAAAAATTTATTTTTATTTATTTATGTAATTTAATTATTTTATAATTTTGTTGTTTTAACTTGTAGTTAAGCTTTTGTATAACTTTTTTTTAATTATCCGAAAAATATTATTTCATCGGATAAAGAGAAAAGAAAGTATCAAAGCTCATCTTCATCTTATATTTAAATGTTGTGTTTTATCAATTGATTTTTTATATTTTTAATCAAAATTTCCAAATTACTCTCTTTTTTATAGTTGATTATTGATTGTTAAGACTTCAATTATACTTGAATTTGTGAAATCAAACGATCCCTCTGTAGAAATCCCATAATTAACATAGATTTAGAAAAGATATTTGTAATTTCTCAAGATTATAGAGAATTTATTATCGTTTCGTCCAATAGAGTCTCAATTACATCAGGTCTTTTTTCCAAAATTTTCTTGAAATCCAGAATTTAAGATCAAACTCAAAGAAATTTAAAGATGAAATTTGGATTTTAAATTTTTTTTGGAAAAATTTGTTATTAAATTCATTTTTTTGAATAAAAAACACATTAATTCGTAAAATCAAATAATCAAAATAGCATTATAAATAGAAAATTCTATATTTCACATATTATTTTAATAAGGAAAGAATAATTTTTTATGGGAAATCTTAAACTTGTTTTTAATCATTGTTCCACATGTTAACACAATCAGTATTCCCATATGTGCTTTCATTTCTATAGGCATTAGCTTTCTGATCGTAACGAATTCTTCATCAATTAGATTTTCCACTAATTTGATTGTTAAAATCAATATTGGATGAGAAATTTCGGTTTGTGGACATACCTAAAATATATTTATTATCTTTATTTTACTCGACCATGATAAAATTTTTCAGACGATACCAGAGGTTTGGTCAATTCATACCTCAAAAAATGTGACAACTTCTCTCTCAATTTTTTGACGCCCAATTTTTTGAAATGGCTTGCAAATCACCTGCTGGTGCTCCATTCGAGTACAGAATTGCCGACATCAACCTCCATGTTCTCGGCCGTAAGGAACTTACCCTTGCTGAGAAGGAAATGCCAGGTCTTATGGTTCTTCGTGAGCGTTATTCCGCTTCTAAGCCATTGAAGGGTGTCAGAATCTCTGGTTCCCTCCACATGACAGTCCAGACAGCCGTCCTCATCGAGACACTCACAGCTCTTGGTGCTGATGTCAGATGGGCTTCCTGCAACATCTTCTCTACACAAGATACAGCCGCTGCTGCTATCGTTGTCGGCCCAACAGGCACACCAGAGAAGCCAGCCGGTATCCCGGTCTTCGCCTGGAAGGGCGAAACACTCCCAGAATACTGGGAGAACACATACCGCGCTCTCACATGGCCAGATGGTCAAGGCCCACAGCAGGTTGTCGATGATGGTGGTGATGCTACACTCCTCATCTCCAAGGGCTTCGAATTCGAAACAGCCGGTGCTGTTCCAGAGCCAACAGAAGCTGACAACCTCGAATACCGCTGCGTTCTTGCTACACTCAAGCAGGTCTTCAACCAAGACAAGAACCACTGGCACACAGTTGCTGCCGGCATGAACGGTGTTTCCGAAGAGACAACAACAGGTGTCCACCGCCTCTACCAGCTCGAGAAGGAGGGCAAACTCCTCTTCCCAGCCATCAACGTCAACGACGCTGTTACAAAGTCCAAGTTCGATAACATCTACGGCTGCCGCCACTCCCTTATCGATGGTATCAACCGTGCTTCCGATGTCATGATCGGCGGCAAGACAGCTCTCGTCATGGGTTACGGCGATGTCGGCAAGGGCTGCGCTCAATCCCTCCGTGGCCAAGGCGCTCGCGTTATCATCACAGAAGTCGACCCAATCTGCGCTCTCCAGGCTGCCATGGAAGGCTACCAGGTCCGCCGCATCGAGGAAGTCGTCAAGGATGTCGATATCTTCGTTACATGCACAGGAAACTGCGATATCATCTCTGTTGACATGATGGCTCAGATGAAGGATAAGGCTATTGTCGGTAACATCGGCCACTTCGATAACGAAATTGATACAGATGGCCTCATGAAATACCCAGGCATCAAGCACATCCCAATCAAGCCAGAATACGACATGTGGGAATTCCCAGATGGCCACGCTATCCTCCTTCTTGCTGAGGGCCGCCTTCTTAACCTTGGCTGCGCTACAGGTCACCCATCTTTCGTTATGTCAATGTCATTCACAAACCAGACACTCGCTCAGCTCGACCTCTACGAAAAGAGAGGAAAGCTCGAGAAGAAGGTTTACACACTTCCAAAGCATCTCGATGAAGAAGTCGCTCGCCTCCACCTCGGATCTCTCGATGTCCACCTTACAAAGCTTACACAGAAGCAGGCTGACTACATCAACGTTCCAGTTGAGGGTCCTTACAAGTCTGATGCTTACCGTTATTAAATTTGATAGACTAAAACATACAGGTATTCAAGTGATTTAAGGGTGCCCTATAGACGATAGCTCCCCCTCAGAAAAAATAACCTTAAATAAAACCAATGCTTTTCGAGACCTATTTTAGTACCTCCAAAAAAATTTTTCTCGGCAAAAAATCAAGTTGATGTATTTTGTTTTGTCATCGTAGATACTCTAATTTTCGCCCAGTAATGTTATATAAAAGGAGCTTTTTTGTCGAAATGCAAAACAAAATTGGCCGTTAATGTGGTGAATTATCGATTTTTGGTACAGCATACTTTCTTATCAATGAATAAATGCAGCTACTTGATAAAAGAGTCTTCAAAAGCAACTTTTGAAAAAAAATATTCCTTATTTACATCAAGAGCCGAATACTTTTACGATGAATATTAATAAAATTTGTCGGTATTTATTCTTACAGATTATCAGATCACAAAAGCCAAAAATTGTTTATTATTTTTTTCAGAATAAAAATTTCGAATGTATCAATTATATCAAATACATACATTTTATTCATACATTACAAATGAAAGATTTAATTTTTGAAAAACCTAAATTTTTTCGAAAATTAAATATTTCGGTGTATTATATGCGCCTTTGTTTAAATTATTCGCCAATTCCTCATCACGAATGTAAGATATTTTGGTATTACAAAAGAGAATCCATGAATTGATGTTTTCGTCCAAAATAATAATATTATATTGTTCGACTGTGATAAGTTATTATGGCTACTAGTTTGGATTTTACAGCTGGATTGTTATTCCATGTGTAATCATCCAATGGAAACGTAAAACCAGCAACATCAATAAAAAGATAATCTGAAAAAGTAGGAGTAACTTGAAGTTCGTTATTATTAACAAGAGGAATGTCAATTTTATCTGTAAATCCCCAGCAGAATTTTTTGAAATAATCAATAAGATCTAGTTGCCTAGCTTCACATGCAAGCGATTCTTGTAATTGTTTGAAAGCATCAATTGGATCAGCTTGATGTATCTTTTGCCGTTTCGAGTACAGGTGATACAGATAAGTAACATCTGCATTTTCCGAAAAGTTCCGATTTGTGAGCGATAATATTTCTTTGTATATTAACTGTTGCTCATTGGGATTAGAGAATAATTCGTCAAATAGTTTGTGCATTAATGGTCGAAATGTAATAAGTTGAACAATAACGGCAAGAAAACTGAGATTTTTTCCAAGCTTGATACCAAGCTTTTGTTTTTTAGGCTTATCATGAGTTTTTCTGAGTGTCTGTGGAAGTTGTATCAAATCAGGATGAAAATCTGCTATCATTTCAAGAGATGGTGGATTGTGGCTGAGGACGTTAAGATAATTGATTGCGTTTATCTTAATTTTCTCAAAGTTATGAAAATCAGTAAAAGCTGAATTCATAATTTCTTTTGCTTGCTGAGAATCGTAAACTGCAACAGCCGAGATGTTTTCTTCATTAATACGAATTAAAGACGAGTACGTATTATAAAGATCTTGTTTAAATTTGGATAATAAATTTTGGAATTCTTGAGGATCATCTGGAATTTCCTTCGCCTTGAAGAAAAATGAAAACCTTTTCCAATCTGGTGGTACTTTGATATCGGAACCAAATATAGATTTTTTGTTGAATTTTGGATAATCTGTTGGAAGTGAAAGATTTTCAGATTCTGACGGTTCTTCATCCGCTGGCGGATCCTCATCGTCAGTGTATTCAATTTTTTCGGATCTGGATCCATCTTTTGACGGTTTATGAGGAACTAAATCAGCGAATTCTGGGTCAATTTCATCTGGAATGTAATGAACGCATCTGTTATGATTTCTGTAGTTTTCCGAAGTTCTTCTGATATGGTCATAATCGGATTTATTTTCGAAATTTAATATAACTTGTAAAATATCTTCATCAAAATAAGAATCATCTATACCCATTAATCTTCTTAGTTTTGTCTTCATTATACGCAAATACAGAAACAAAAATTCTGGCTGGAAATCCAATAATCCAACGAAGATTTTTTGGGACTAAATGGGCTTTCAATGAATTGAAAGCTTCGTTGAAATTTGTATGATATTGTTTGCTGATTCTTAGAAACAATGGAGCAATATTTGTAATAATTTCTCTTTTTTCGATATGCTCTGGTGATTCTCCTGAATATCTATTAATTAATCCCATCCATCTCTGAACCTTTTGCTCTGGTTTTAATGTTGGGCGTGCAAAAAGGATCCTAAATATTTTTTCAAATTTAGGATATTTAGTGACAATTTTTGAAAATGCTGATTTTATCACATGATTTGGATCTCTTACATGTGATAATTGTGCACCAGAATTCTCTATCATTGTTGAATCTTTAACATCACCATCTGAACAAAAAACTTTTATTTTTTTCCATAAATCAGATTTCAACATATCACGTAATGCATAGCTTTCCATTAATCCTGGTGAAATTTTTGGTTCAACCAAAATTTTGGGACTTTTGAATTTTATTAATTCTGGATGCCTTGAAACTATTCTAAAATCTAATATTTTGTTTGTATTTATATCTATAAGCGTAATGACGGCATGTAAAGCATCGCGCTTAGAACTCCATGCGCAATCTAATGAAACATTAAATTTGTATTCTGAATCATGTTTAAGAATTTCTTGTATATTAGCTTCACAACTTGCTGTTGCAACTTTCTCAAGATCTGGCAATATGCTCTTTAGATGCGCAAGTAATGTAGTTTCTGTTGGGCAATGAAAGTTTAGGAGTGATGCCAATTCGATGTGTTTTGAAAATCCTGCACCAGATATAAGAGAAATGTAAGTATGAAGATTCTTGACAACGTCACTATACGGAACTCCAGGCTTAAATTTGACGTTGAATATTGTTTCTTCCTTAACATTTGATTGTGAATGATCTTGTTTTGAATTAAGCTGGTTTAGATTAATGAAATGCGAAAAAGGTTTCTTATTTGAATAAACAGTTCGATGATAGACCCTTTTTTGGCAGTCATCAGCTTTATATGTTATTAATATCTCTTCAATTGTGTATCCTTCCATGATTGGAATAGAATACTCCATAGGAAGAGCTAAAATCCCGCCAAATTTTACGGTTTTTTAATACAAAAGTAATCAAAGTGAATAAAGCAAAGATATATATTGTATTTAATCAGTCAATTGATATTGGGTAGAATATATGCTCAATATTTCATTTTTCAAATTTATTATTTCAAAAAACCAATAATTGGCGACATTGTTTACTGTAATAATGGTTTTTAATGAAAACACTATATGCCTTCCTTATTTTCTTTCTTTTTATTTTTTTGAAAAAATCAAAAAAACTCGAAAAAAAATCAAAAAATCACAAAATCGATGAATTCTCAACGTAATTTAAATCTTCAAAATCGTAGAGATTGGTCATAATATAACTAAGCATTATGATATGGTAAAGTTCAAAAAATCTCTCTCTTGAACGAGATAAAAGCTTAACAAAAATAACCTTAAAAGTGCTTTTCTGAGGGTAGTCTATCGTCTATAGGGCACCCTTAATCGATTTTCTTTTATAATCCTAAGATTTTAGGGTATGTAATTGAATTTTTAGGTAAAGCTCTTGCAACGACTCCAATTCAATTTTGAGATTTTTTGCAAGGGATTATAAGTTTTTTGATGAATATCTTATTGTTTTCGACTTTGCTATTTATACTGTGTCATTTGATACCTAAGGGCGAAATTTTGGTATCCAAAATCTTTGTGGTTATTATTTTCCATATGTATAACATAGCACCCTTTTCTCCAAATGAATTTTTAAGATTGTTTTAATAATAAATATTTTTATGTCTGATGAAGAGATTCACCCAAATAAATACAGTGAATTGCGAAGTATCTATAAATATTACATCGATGCATGTAATGCATTGTATCAGCTGAAAACGGAAAAAGAAGAAGATTTAATCTCAATTTACAAAATGATCAAAACAGAATTGATTGATTCAAATAAACATCCTCCCCAAATAATTATGAGAGACATTTTGAATATTATCCCGTATAATAATCGCTATACAAAATCATATTTATTACTTGCCAAATTCATATATGATGATTATCAGGTGAAAGAACTCAGAGATATTGATGATTATTTGTACATTATTTTTTATGAAGAATATGGCATTAAATTAACGAATTTTTCTTTTTTGGAAAAATTAAAATTAAATTATTTCGAAATTCCTACAGAAAATACAATTCACAGAGCAATTATGTATAACGACAAAGAAAGGTTCATCTCTTTCATCGAAAGAGAAGGATTTGATAATTATCAAAAACTACAAAGCGATTTATACCCACATTATTTTACAGGATATTCGTTACTTGAATTATGTTGTTACCACGGGGCAGTTGATTGTTTTAAGTTCTTAAGAACAAAATTTGACTCAGAAATAACTCAAACATGTCTAGATTTATCATTTTTAGGAGGAAATCCAGAGATTATGAGTGAATGTTTGAAATATCAAAAACCAAATAAAGAATGCATGGAAAATGCAATTATTTCACACAACATTGATTTTGTTACATTCTTGATGAATGAATACAATATAAAGATCGATTTAGAATATTGCGGAGAATTTAATAATCTTGAATCATTTTTTGTTTATTTCGATCAAACAAATGATATTAACAAATGCTTTATTTATTCAATGATATTTGGCTTATTATCTCTTTGCGAATATTTTATTTCACATGGTGCAAATGTCAATGAAAAAGATAAAAATGGAGAAACCGCTCTTCATTTTGCTGCAATTTATAATAGTAAAGAAACAATTGAACTTCTTATTTCACAGGGTGCAAATATCAATGAAAAAGATGGTAATTGGAAAACAGCTCTTCATGTTGCAGCAGAAAATAATAGTAAAGAAACCGCCGAGCTTCTTATTTCATATGGTGCAAATATCAATGAAAGAGACAAATATGGAGAAACCGCTCTTCATTATGCAGCAGAATATAATAGTAAAGACACAGCCGAGATTTTTATTTCATATGGTGCAAATATCAATGAAAAAAAATAACTATGGAAAAACTGCTCTTCATGTTGCAGCAGAAAATAATAGTAAAGAAACAGCCGAACTTCTTATTTCATATGGTGCAAATATCAATGAAAAGGACAAATATGGGGAAACCGCTCTTCATGCTGCAGCATCTAACAATAATAAAGAAACAACCGAGCTTTTTATTTCACATGGTATAAATATCAATGAAAAAAATAATTTAGGGCAAACTGCTCTTCATAAAGCAGCACTTAAAAATAGTAAAGAAACAGCCGAACTTCTTATTTCACATGGTGCAAATATCAATGAAAAAGATAAAAATGGAGAAACCGCTCTTCATTATTTCACATGTTGCTTCAGCTGAGATTCGCAGCAGGCAATCACCATGCGAACCAAAGTTCGCAAGAAAGACCAGGATGGAGTCCTTTCTCACGGTCATGACTCATCCTAGTCTTTGGGGTGCCGGAAGGAGCGTTCCTTCCGGATTCAACTCTTTTTGAAAATTGAAGGTAAATTCTCCTATTTCTAGTGAGAATGAAATGATTAGGTGTATATTGTTATAATTTATTCTTCTTTCCCTTTCATTCTTTTTATTAGTCAATAGCAAGTTTGCTGATTTCAACTGAAGAATTGAAGGCTATAAAGCAACAATTTCATATCAATGCTTCATAGCCTTCAGCTCCTTCCAGAAAGTCGCTAAGCTTTGTGTTGATTTATAACCATAATGAAGAGAATGAAAGACTTTGGGGCACTTATTCTTACTTGTACCCCAGAGTCTTTCATTCTCATTTAAAATAAGAGAAACTTCGCCCTAATGATAATTTATTCAGACAAAGCTCTCCCATTTTTAATCTTGTTCAACTTTTCACAGGCTCCAATTCCTTCTCTGGAGAGTAGTTTATATTGATTATCCAGTCTGGAACAACTTTTGACGAGAGATGTTCGCTATTTCTGTTTGCATACGACAAAATAAAAATGTCTTTTTATTTCGAATGGAAAAAATGCAATTTTCACGAGATGATGGTATTATTCAAGAACTATGATGATATATTTACTCGGTTATTTAGGCTAAGTACATCGATGATGATGATGAAATCAGCGAGATTTATGAAAATCTGAAAATGATTATTCTTGAACCGCGAATATGCTCAGCATCTGTACTTACAAATATTATATTTCAAGCAGCAAATTTTCAAAAAAAAGTTTACGAAAAATATCACCCAAAATATATCAGTGAATTTGAATGCGTTTGCGATTACTTCATTTACAAGGAATATGGTGTTTTGTTAAATCAGGAAAACGAAAAATACTTTTATGAATACGAAATCCAAAAATATTCTTTAGAAATTCATGAAGAAGGCACTATTTACAAGGCCATTATGGATAATGATGTCAATGCACTAATACTGTTCACAGAACAAGAAGGATTTGATAAAGATCAAAATACAACAAACAAATTATATCCATATATCGGAAGAGGCCTTTCTTTACTTGAGTTATGTTGGTATCATGGTCCATCAGAATGTTTCAAGCTCCTGCGCTCAAAATTGAATACTGAAATCACTCCTACATGTCTTAAATTTTCATTTTTTGGTGGAAAACCAGACATAATGAATGAATGTTTGCAATTCCAAAGAATAGACAAAGATTGCACTGATTATACCATTGCATCTCATAACATAGATTTCATCACTTTTTTGATGAACCAAATTGATTTATTCAGTTTGTGGTCTTGCTGCGAATATTACAATCTTCATGCATTTTTTGAATATTTAAATAGAATGAATGATTTGATTCGTTTTTTCGTGATGTCTCCTTGATTTGGGCTTCCAAGTCTTTGTGAATATTTGCTTAATCATGGTGCTGATGTCAATTCTAATGATGGTTCAACGGCTCTTCATACTGCAGCTGAACTAAATATGGCAGAAGTGGCACAATTTCTCATTTCACGCAGTGCAATAATTGATTCAAAAGATACTGAATCAGAAACTCCTCTTCATCGAGCGGTTATGAGATATAGCATAGAAACGGCTGAAGTACTTCTTTCTAATGGAGCAGATGTCCTTTAATACGCCACTTCATGATGCAGCATTTACTAATTGCATAGAAATAGCAGAATTACTCATATCACACGGAGCTAATCTTAATATTAAATCTGAAAATGGGGCGACCGCACTTGATAAGGCATTAAGATTCAATCATTCAAATTTTGCAGAATTTCTGAGAACGAATGGCGCAGATGTTCATAATAAAAAAGTTTAAAATATATTGTAATTGAAATAAAAATTACAAAAATTTGACGAAAAATAACATATTTTTTAAATCAATCTTCATCATACACATATAATATATGCTTCATCACAATATAGTGCAGGTAAATAGGATTAATACGACATTCAAAAATTCTTCTCTATTCTATCTAACCTCCTGAATATTGATTCCATACAAGATTAATGCATTACATATTCAAACTAATTGTATTGATGATAACACTCTTGAGTAAAAGGAAGAGATATATAAAGATCTGTAGGAGAATTTTTCTAAAGGCAATAAAAATTTGAATATACTCAATTGATAAGAAATAAAGTTTATTTTCAATCAAGTAATTCATCATTCAAACGATATTACATTTGTACTTCTTATTTGCACCTTTTTCAATTAGATATTTAACTATTTCTTCAGTTGTATCATCTTTAACTGTATCAAATAGAGATTATTCATTAATTTAAAGAGAATTTCCTCAAACAATGATAAATATGAAAAGAAATACAACATAATAAAACAATGATAAATATTTAATGAAAGACCATTGTATAAATCATTGATAAATATGAGAAGATAGTGAATTGAATAAAAAAATGATTAACATGAGAAGAATAAGTATGTTATAAAGCAACGATAAATATAAAAAGAAAGAGAATTGGATAAAACGATGACAAATATGTAAATAAAGTGAATTTTATAAAGTAAAGATAAATATGAAAAGAAAAAGAATGATACAAAACAATGAGAAATATGAAAAGAAGGAGAATAAAATAAAGCAATGATAAATATGACAAGAAAGCGAATAAGCTAAATCAATGATAAATATGAAAGCCAGAAGAATTCCATATTATATTGATAAATATGAAAAGAAAAGGCATGTAATAAAACAAAGTTCAATATGAAAAGAAATGAAATTCCGTAGATAAATAATAAATATGAAAAGATAGAGAATTTGATAAAACAATAGTAAATATTACAAGAAAGAAAATCTTATCAAATAATGACTGATATAACTAGAAATGGAATTAGCATTATACGGACATCTGCCCCATGTTCGACAAAGTACTTCACCATTTCCAATGATTTTAACTTGCAGGCAATAAATAGAGGGCATTCATTGTAATCAAGAGAATGTAATAAAACAAGGATGAAAATTAACATTAAAGATAATATGGTAAAATAATGATTAATATGAAAAGAAATAAAACCCAATTATGTAATGAATAATATTAAAAGGAAAAGAATGTAATAAGGTAATGATAAAAATGAAAACGAAAAGAATGTAATAATTTAATGATAAAACTAAAAAGAAAGAAAATGTCATTAAGCAATGTTAGATATGAAAACGAAGAAAATGTAATAAAATAATGATAGATATGAAAAGAAAGAAAATTGCATAAAGAAATAATAAATATTAAAAGAGAGAGAATGTGATAAAGCATTGATTAATATGAAAAGAAAGAGATCGAAATAACTTAATGACGGATATTAAAAGAAAAGGTAAAAGTAATTGGTTTACGTTTGCGCCATGTTCAACTAAGTATCTAATTACTTCGAATGAATTTGCCTTGCATGCAAAAGTTAAAGGGCATTCATTAAAATCAAGAGAATGTAATAAGATATTAATTAATATTAAATCAAATAGGACTCCATAAAATAATAATCAATTTGAAATGAAGGAAAATATAATAAAGCAATGATGAATATGAAATGAATGAGAATGCTATATAATAATATTAAATATGAAAAGGAAACGAACTTCATAGAAAAATGATAAATATGAAAAGCTAGAAAATGTCATTAAGCAATAATGAATTTGAATATAAAGATAATGCGATAATGTAATAATAAATATTTCAAAAAAGAGAACTCCATAAAATAATGATAATACTGAAAAGAAATATAATGTAATATAATAATGATAAATATTAAATGAAAGTGAATGTAATAATATAATGCCAGATATGAAATGAAATGGAAAATAACTTGCGTTGATAAGTGCACCATGCTCAACAAAGTATTTAATAATTTCAAATGAATCATTGGTGTGTCAATTTTTTTCTTCGGGAATGTTTGCGGATTTTCATCCTTCGGGATCCACATGATTTTGGCTTCTGTTGCATATTGAAACCAAGACTCGTCCCCTGTTACTAAAAAGCGAAACTTCTTGGATTGATACGCACGCAATATAGAGAGGAGCTCTTTCGAAGCTTGGACTCTAGATTTTTTTTGAACTGAATTAAGGTTGTGCGGAACCCAACGTGTATACGCTAGTTTGTAGTTCAAATAATTGTGCAGATAATAACTGACTGTTGTACGTGGTATCTTTGTCATCTCCTCTATCCTTCTGAGTGATGCTCTTGGGTCTTCATCTAGCGCTTGAAGAATTGCTTTGATTTTTCTTTGATCCGGCAATTTTTTGTCAATTTTTATGATGGGCGCCTTTTTGTTCACGAAGTGATACATCCTAACATGATACGTTACAGTGGAATAGCTAGGAGCATCCATACCGAAGCATTTTACCAATGTCTCGTAGATTTTTTACAGTCTTTGCATTTTTTTGCAAGAGCGAGGATGTTTTCTTTATGATTCATTAAAAAAATGAAAAAAATCCCGCCAAAATTTCCCGCGAAACCGCCTCTTGTCTCAAAATTCATTTTATATCCCGGCATGGCGCCAAAATACAACATACTCATCATATACATATATTCATATTTTTTATTATATATTTATAATCAGCATATATCTCCTTTAATAGTCTCATATAGAGCGCTGTGCTAAACGCACCTTTGGACACCCTATATTCACAAATTTAAAAAGAAAGTGAATGTAATAAGGCAATGAATAATATGAATAGAATGATAATATCATAAAGCAATGTTATATATTATCAGAAAGAAAATGTAATAAAGCAAGGATAAATATGAGAACAAATAGAATTTCATAGAAAAATGATAAATATGAAAAGAAAGAGAATAAAATAATGGAATGAAGAATATGAATAGAAAGATAATTCCATAAAATCATGATTAAAATGAAAGGAATGGGAATGTAACAAATCAATGATAAATATGAAAAGAAAGAAAATTGCATTAAAAAATAATAAATGTGAATATTAAGAGAATTTCATTGAGAAATGATAAATATGAAAAAAAGCAGAACGTCATAAAACAACGATAAATATAAAAGTAAATAGGACATCATAAATAAATGGTGAATATGAAAAGAAAGATAACATGATAAAGCAATAATAAATATGAAAAGAAAATGAATGTAATAAAAATAAAGAGAATTATACAAACAAATGTTGAATATGAAAAGATGCAGAATTCTATTAAACAATGATATATGTGAAAAGAAATCGGATTATATAAATTAATGATAAATATGAAAATGATGAGAATTTTATAAACTAATGGTAAATATGAAATGATAAAGAATCGTATAACCCAATGATAAACATTAAAAGAAAGAGTATGCTATGGAATAATGATAAATATGAAATGAAAGAGAATGAAATTAAGCAATAATAAATATAAGAAGGAAGAGAATATGATAATATAATGATAGATGTCATAAAGCTATTAAAAATATGAAATGATAATGAATTTTATATAACAATGATAAACCTAAAAAGCTAGGAAATCTTATATAATGAAAAAGAATTGTATGAAGTAATGATAAATGTGAAAATAAAGAGAATTCCATAATACTCATTGGAATATGAACCTTTCGAAAGTAGATATGAAGCAACTCCATAATTTCCATAAAGCATGCTTTGTGCTACTGAATTAGGTTTTTGTCCGAATTCAGTTTTTAAATAATCAGCAATTTGATAATTATGATATTTCAATGCCATGTTGATCAAGCCATCAAACGTCTTACCATCTTCTATCATTTGATTGAAAATGTATTCATTTCCTCCTTGGACGGCAAATTTTTCGGAATCTTTGGTATATTTTGCTCCTATATTTCTCAAGTAGTTGAAACACAACTCTGATCCAAATTTAATTGCGCAATCAAGAGGAAACATTTTTTGATTTACATATTGAGGATTAATAGTTGGGAATTTATTTTTGAGTTCATCAATTTTGTCCCATGCAACGTAGTGCGATATAGAATTTGTTGGAAATATGTTGAGAATATCTTCTTCTTTCATTTCAGGTTCGAATTTTTCAAAACGCATGCCTTTATAATATAGTAAAGTTGTTAATCTCTCATTTCTTGGTTTGATGGTGATGTGCGAAAATTCAATTGAAATGCTTTGATAAAGATCTGCTAATAATTTAATATCTTTAAAGCGAATTGATGAAAAAACATCAACCAGGTAAAATGCTAATTCAACAGTTATTTTGTTTGTTTTGATTAGTTTGACAATTTGCGAAGTTATTTGTAAAAAATTATCCGGATTTACATCCCATATCATATTTGATGCTTGATTAGGATATTCAAACATTTTAAGAGGCTTAAGGTTACTAAAACTTGGCTCAATTTCAGCTGATAGTTGATCAGAGCTCATTTTTTTCCTGAAAAAAAGTGACAAAATAAAATCCGAAACATGATTTATGCTATAAAGTCTTGCGAGTAATTTTTTTACAAACAAACTCCCAATTTTTTTTATAACTTTTCTTTAATTTTTAATGAGAACTAAAATAAATGCACCAGATTTTGACACATATTTGACGATTTTCCCCATTCTCCAAGATAAATCTGGAATGATTAAGCTGAATTTTGTTATGATTATCATCATTCGAAATGCTTAAATTAAGAGTTTGTGGATACAACAATCTTTGAATGACTAATTGCTAAAATATATGTCAGTGTTTGATAGATTGATTGTATTAGATATAAAAAAAAATTAAAATTAGTCAAGCACTGTGGGCTAGTGAAAAATTGGCACCACGATAGCATGGTTTGCAAACTATTCAATTTTGAGTATCTTTTTACCTGAAAATGATACAATCAATTGATTTTTTTTTGATAAAAATCTTCGATTCCGAAATATTGAATGGACTTTGATATTGAGGAAGAAGACGTATATGGTCTGGGATCCTTTTCCATAGATGAGTTTTCTTCCTCCAATATGAGTCCTTCAATTCGAAGTTTAAGTGTGGATGGATTTAAAGATGTCAATATACAAGCATTAATTACAATGAATATCCCATTAAACTTACCATACATACATGAATCAAAACTCCAAATCAAACAATACGGTCAAAGTATCATCAAAGCATCAAATTACAGCAAATCCAGCATATTTATTGTATTGCCTTTTCTTGAGCAGACACAAGAAAATCAAACAGAATACTGCAAACTTTATCCTTTTTACGTTTATTGGATACAAATTTCAAATACAACTCAGACACTATTATCATCCGTGATTTTGAAAGAAATCAATGCTGGTTTCAGTGATATTTTCCCTCGACACTCAATAATTTCTAATGAGAAATATTTTACTCGAATTCCATGTTATCTACAGAAAATGAGACAAGACGATCAATTTTCTCAGCTTGTTTTCCACTTTATCGGATACAATACATCTTACATTAGCGACGATCGAATAAATTTCATTTCTCAGTCAAAAGGCGAAATTATTTCCACTCCAATCATAGAAATCTTCAATTCATTAGAGCACGACTTCATTACAATATTTGATGGAAGCAACAGTGGCTGTGCATTAGATATTTTCAAGAAATTCGAAGTAAGTAATTCTGATAAAATTATTTCGAACGGCAAAGACTTCTTTGTACTCTGCTCATGCTCATCCAATGAGAGTATGCCTAAGAATCCCTATCTTCCGCGTGATTTTCTTACAAGTACTTTGTTATCTCCAGTTCGTGTCTTAATTTTATGTTTTTTGATCAATTACTATCCAGAGAAACTTACTGATCATGAGTTTCAACCTCTTACCGACATAGATCCAGAAATTACTGATTATTTGAATCAAGAAATTATTGCAATCACAGAAACTATTGCTTACGAATGTTTACCGAAGGAATTATTCTTATATTTATTTAGAACAGACGATAATGTTGCCAAATTGTTCCAAAGATTCATTTTAGCTCAATATTTATTATCAAATTTTAATATTCATCCTGTTTCTTATCCAGAGCTTCCCCAATTGCAGCATCATCATGCATGGTCTCATCTTAGATTCACTCTTGAGAAATATGTCCTTTCCAAGCATAAAATCATTTCTCAAAACGAATCCGATTTATTTCAAAGCGTCATCAGCTCATTTTTCAAGAATATAAACTCCAAGAACATGGACAAGACTGTTATTAACGTTGCCTCTATTATTCCTTCGATATTTTCCTCAGCGATTGAGTTATATGCTCCTTTGTCATATTACGCGAGTCTTTCACCAGAAAATCGAAATGAAGTGATTGGAATTCTTAATTTTAAGAAACTTTTCAGTCTCCTTTTCAAACAGATGCATTCTACAACATTATATCATTCTATTGCTTATTTAACAATGACATCTCTTATGGCGAATAACAAATCAATATTGTCAGTTGTAGAACAACCAGATCTTCAGTTTTTGTTTGATAAAATCATGGATAGAAAAGTTTCTCCAGTAACAAGAACAATTCTCACAGCTATTCTCACGAGAATTGTTGATTCTTATCAATCAGCTCATAATTTCTTTATTACAGAAATTGTTTTTAAAAATTTCTGTTCAAACATAAAAGAATTGGAAATACAACCACTTATATGGCAATTCATTCTAATGAAGCAAGTTTTCAAGCATTTTTCAATCGATAGAGTTAATTTTCATGATGAAAATGTTCATATACAAATCTCTGCTTTGATGATGCATAATTCATATGAATTGAGGGCTTCAATGATTGCGTTGCTTTCTAATTTCATGCAAACAGGAAATCCAACTTTAAATAGACATTTGTTTACTTCAATTTTGCCGCTGTGTTTGGATATGAGTTATTTAGTTAGATACCAATTTTTAATGTTTATAATTAGATATTTAGCGAGTTCTAGAGTTGATATTGAAGCGAAAATTTATAAACCTCCTTCGATTTCTAGTTTTTCGCAGTTTTTTGATGTTTTGTTCCACTCAGGATTACACTATTCCCAATTGTTGTCTTCCTTCTCACTCCTTCAAAGTGTTTCCGCGAGAATTGCGAGCAACCAAAATTCCGAAATAAATTGCATCAAAAATGGTTTGTTTATTATTAATTTTTTGACGCAAGATCCTTCTCCAATTGTTCGAGAAACAGCAATAAAAGCACTAGATCTGTTCAAAAAACACGATCGCCAAGAAGTTGCTCCTCCTTTTAACTCTTCATCTCAGAACCTTGCAACAATACAATCAAGAGCTGAAGTTGTATCTGAAAATTTTGATATTCCTGATGATTTCAGTGTTCTTTATTCGAATCTTTGTGCGCAACTCCTTAAATCAGAGCAATGGAACCAAGAGAACTATCAGAAGCCATTTTGCAAAGAGAATAACGCGGAAGAAAAGAGTTTTATGCCTTCAAAAATCAAATTGAGAAATAAAAAATTAGTTGGCGATCGACATATCGAAAGATTGGCCTTTGTTAATAGAGAAATGGTTGTTCAAACTTCTCCAAAAACTATCTCTATTTTGGAAAACAATTTGGCACTAAGAAAATCATTCACATTTCCTTCTGTAATTTCATCAATTACTACACATAATATAAACCAAACAGATATTGTATCATGTGCAACAAATGATGGAGTAATTCATCTTTATGACCCTAAAGAAAACTCTATTTTGACTTCTTTCAGATCAACAATGGAGAATTCACCACAAATAATCACAACATCCCTTTCATCAAATAAAATTGCTGTTTCTGGAGGCCAATCATCCAATGCTGTTAGGTTGTTTGATATTTCATGTCAAAAGTTCATTGGAGAATGGAATATCCCAGATAAATCAACAATTTCATGTTTGTATATACATGAAAATGATGAAAATTTGTGTATTTGTGGTTTAAACAATGGATATTTAGTTCCTGTTGACTTCAGAGATGACCAAATGAACAAGAGAACTCCTCTTGGTGTAAGAGATGACAAAGTTATTAATATTTGTGGAATTAGATGCCAGAGACAAGTAATTTACGCATCAACAGCTTCAGGACGAATAATGAGCTGGGATGTCAGAGGTTCTTATGTCTCGTTAGTTTCAGAAAGAAGAGATTTCTGCACAGGATTCGATAGTTCCCCGAATTTTCCAATTTTATTTTATTCATCAACACAAGATAAGCCAGCAATTTTGTCTCCATCAGGACAGAAGGCCACAGAAATCGACTGCTTTAAAGGTTCCATGATTTGCACTTCAAAAGAGAATGATTTAGTTGCATTTGCTGAAACTAATGGAAATGTTCAAGTATTTGAAGTACTCCTATAATTTTTATGATTTATTTTTGTTTGTATATATTTTCATATAAATAAAAAAACTAATATGAGTATAAACTAATTTATGTTCCTTGAAAAAATCTGCCTACAAATTGATAAACCTGTCTACATCTGTTTCTAGTGAATATTTTAACATAACCATATTGTAAACATACTGTCCTGGAGTAATAGCTTTCAAAAACCATCAGAAAGTCATGTAGACAGGATATTAATGCTGTAGATACTTTTTTTTTCAAAATCTAAAAAAGAAGACTCAAGAAGTGGATAACATACATTTAGTTTATCCATGAAATGCAAAAAACTTCTATGGTTTTTACAAATTTTTCTCAAAATTATAATTTAAACTAATTTGGAAACACTAATTAATATCACAACACTCAGAAAAGTCAACTTAATGTATTATTCCATAAAATTAAGCAACGGTAATTTAATAAAAAATGAAAGTAGATTTATCTGCGTCCTGGGCGGCGTGGTTTGCGGATAATGTTGACTTCACCATACTGGTGGTCATCCTCTGGTGGATGGATGAGTTTATCAAGGTTGGTATCGTTAAATTCATCCTTATCTCTGATTTCTAAGTTCTGAACGAATTCGATTCCGCAATCCTTGCATCCCTTGATGAATGAAGCCTTGCATGTAGAAGACATCATCTTCTCACGTGGCTTGGCTGTATCTGGGCAGTAAAGAAGGAAATAAAGTTTTTCTTCACCGTTGTCATCGTAGCGGATAGCGACGTAACGTGGAGCATCGGCCTTGAGATCCTCAATGGATTCACCTGTTCCGGCGAACTTTACGCCATTTCCTTGGAGATCGCCCATGCCAGCGACGAAGTGTGGTCCTTCCTTTGCGGCGAGCTTCTTGAGGGCTTCAAGAAGGTCAGCATCGCACTCCCATGTGAAAGAATCGTGCTCTGGAAGTTGGATCTGAGCAACTGCGTTTTGGGCAGCTTGTTCCTTCTGCCGGCGCTCGTCGAAGGAGAGGGCAGCATCATCCTTCTTCATCTGCTTGGCAAAGTCCTTGTAATTGCAGTCTTTGAGGTCATCAAAGAAGTAATCTGTAATTCCTGTGAAAACGCGAGAGATATAGCGCTGAACTGGAACACGAGATGAAGCAAAGATTGTTCTTGGACGAATTGGGCATGAAATTGGAATGTAAACGAGAATAACAAATTCGCCATGTGCTGATGTCTTCTCAAGACGGACAATAAAGAAGGCTGGCTCAGACTTTTCAAGATAGTCAACGATTCCATCGAAATCTTGCTCGACTGTGCCTGTGACATCGACCCTCTGGCCAATGACAAGCTTTTCATCCTGGATTAAGAGCTTGAGACCACGGACAGACTCGTTGACCTTGAAGTCGGCGAGAGCCTGCTCTGTCTCTGGTGGGATATCTACGTTAGCAGTGCAACTCATTAATGTGAAGAGATAATCTCACTTTTTTCTTTTTGTAAACTGGGCAATTGACGAATGGTTATAAAAATCTTTGGATGAAATATCTCCAAAATCATGTTGAAACAAAAATCTACTGATTAAATTTGATCAAACACTTTAAATCATAGAGATTTACACAAATTTCATTAGGATCTAGAGATCTAAACTAAACTGACTATGAGAGTATGATTTAGAAGTTGTGTAATTAAATAATCATAAAGAATAACACCTTTGTAAACTGATAATTTATCCTGCCATCTAAGTTTATCAGATTATATTGGTGCGTGCCTGAATTTGTGCACGCAACTTCTATGATAATAATTCCTTCTGTAGAAATGTATCAATTTTTACCCAAAATATGCAAAAATCTAAAAATCTCGTATATGTTCAATAATTGCATCTAAATCAATCAGATGCATTTCATGTGTTTCTGATGTGAATTCAAGAGATCAAAGATTAATTGCTCACAATGAATCAGCAATAATTCTTAGTAAAATTCTCATTGATAGAAATGTTATAGGTAGTTTTAAATTATCTACTCTTAATTTGTCAGCCCAAAAGGATATCGCCAAATAATACCACGTGGTGCTGTGATCTAATAAGATCCAAAGTGCAATTGAAAAGAAGTATTCCAACTCCTAGTTTCATTTCATTACAGAAAATAAGATTCTCCTCTAAGATTGAATTACTATAGTAATACCAAAATTTCTGTCCAAATCAAAAGAAGAATCATCAGAAATCAGTACTTTTTAGGTCCTGAGATTTCATTATTCAAATGATAGTTTAAATATTTAAAAAGAAAAATCATATTTAAATTTAAATACAAAAAAATAACTGATATATTAAGCTTCCGCTTGAACACCGAAAGTTCTAACAAGTTTCTTGATTGGTTTAATTCTTTCCATCTTTCTAAGTTCATTCTGTCTTATCTTATTATACTGCAAAAGTTTGAACTTCAATGCAGGGTCGCATTTCATGTCTTCTACGTATTTCTCAAATGGAATTCCCAAACTATTTGCCGCACCAATAGCTTCCAAAGTCATTGACTGTATCATATCTGGTCTGCATTGAACGATCATCTTATCTCCATTTATTCCTGTTTGAGGGTCACTGTACTGCTTTGGAATTTCTACTTCGTTTATATCTTTATCATTTAAGACAATTCTGTCATCTGTCTGAGGAATCTTTGTGTTATCAGCTCCAGAAAGAAGAGCTTGAATTGCAGGAGAAATACCGAATTGATCATCAATAATGAGATCATCAGGAGATTTCTTAGATCTATCGATTCTTGCCAATAATTTCGGAATATTTCTCTTCCTCTTCTTTACATCGAATTCATCATCTTCATCACTATGATCGAAAATATCAATCTTATTGACATCGAAATCATCGACATCTGAATAATATTCTTCGATAACTGTCCTCTTCCTTTTGACTGGTCTTCTGTTTCCTTCGTTATCACTCTCCATGACAACTTCTTCAATGACTTTCTCGACAGGAGTTCTGTGTCTCCTTCTGCCTTTAGTTGTTGGAGCAATAAGAAGTGAATCAGCGGCCAAATCATCTTCTGAATCAGAGAAAATGTAGTCGTTCTTGTGGTTGTTCATTAGATCTGCAATATTTGATGTGGATCCTCTCCTCAACTTGGCAGGAATGCCTGCTGTTGACTGTCTACGTGATGAAGCACTAGATTTACGTGGAACAACACCGGCTGTTGTAGCTCTGTGTGGTTTGTTTTTGTTCATTTGCTTCAACTCGTCAAAGAACATCTGATCGTCGTTGTCTGATGATGAAGACTCGGAAAGCTCAATGGGAACTTCCTCTTCAACGATCTCTTCTTTGCCCGTGTCTTTGTCGATGTGCTTCTTGATGACAGTGACAACTTGTTGAAGAACTTTCTTCGGCTCTTTCCGTTTCCTGACTCTGATGACTTCTGGCGTTGGCTCAGGTTCGTCTTTGTTGGTGGCGCTGGATTTGTGCTGCTTCCTGATGACTTTGGATTTGCGGACAACACGCTTTGGCTTACGTCGTGGCCCGGCCGATTTCGGAGCATTATAACTTGGTGCGACGTCATCGCTGTAGTCGGAATCTGAGTAATCGCTCGATGAACTTGAATTTGCGGAGTTCGCTAGTAATGAAGGAGATGCGAGATCTGATAATTTTGCTGTTGACATTCGGGCGCTTTGAGGACGAGAGGCTAATTTGCGATGGCTGGACCTACTACGGACACTTAGGTTGTCTGTCGTGGCAGGAGCGTCGTCAGCTGGTAAGGCAACTTGTTCTTCAACATTTTCTTCCAAACCTGTCTCTGGATTGATGCGTTTCTTAACGATTGTAACGTATTGAACTGGTTTGTGATGATGTTTTCGAATTCTTTTGACTTGTGGCTCATCTGGATTATCATTTGAGTCTTTTTCAGCGTTACTGCTCTTGTTTTCTAAGGCAGCTTTAGCTTTCTTTTCTTCAGCTTCTTTCATTTGCTTTTCAAGCTCTTCAAGGGTTAATTTCTCTTCGTATTCTTCGATTTCGCCAGTTATTGGATTCTTTCGTCGTTTGACGATAGTAATTATGTTTTGTGGTGCGGCAGAGGTATCGCGATGATGCCTGTGCTTTCTAACTCTGCGGACAATAGTTTCAGGTTCTGGTTGTGGTTGTGGATTGTTTTGAGCTTGCTTTTTCTTTTTAACGATAACCTTCTTGATTATCTTCTTTGGACGCCTTTTCATTGGCTTCTTTTTCCTTATGATAATTGGATCTGGTTCTTTTTCTTCAACGGCTGGCTTCTTCGATTTATGTTTATGTATAACAACTTTCTTAACAATTCTCCGTACAATGGGCCTCCTCCTTCGTCTTCTGGGCAAATTTCCACTTTTAACGCCTGCCGTTGACTTTTTAATAGGTGCTTTCTTCTTTCTTTTGATAGTAACTGTCTTTTTAATTGTAGTAGTTTTCGCATTTTTGTTTGTTCCTAAAGCATTTCCGAGAGTTCCAGAATCTTTTTTAATTTTCGTTGTACTACTTCTTGGTTGTCGCGGTTTAGCTGGTCTTGCAGCTAATGGGTTTGCTACTGTTTCACGGCGCTCTTTTTTAACAGCCGTTACAGGTTGAGCAATCACATCATTGAAATCAACACTTAATGGCTCTGGATCATCATCATTGGCGCCAGTTCCCTTAGGGGAGATCTGCCTCATTGATGACTTTTTAGCATTAGATGATTTCACTGACATTTAAAATTTCAGATTAGATATCAAAAAGTGACATTAACGCATTTTAACTTTTTTTTATCAAACCGTATCAGAAATTTTTTGAAAATTATAGATAATCATATGATTTAATTCGTAACTATTTTGAAAATAATCTTCTGAATTTTTATAAAAAATGTGATGCTGACAGATTAGTCCTGAAGAGAACATGCGTAGTATCAACAATCAATACGATTTATTCAATTAAAATGAATTTGGACTGCAAAAAAGTGAAATAAAAACAACCTTAAACTTTTTTCACCTTATACGAATTATTACAGATCAAATTAATCTTGGAAGTTGCACATTCAATTAGTCACTTAAAAAACATTATGCTTTTGAGGTAGTTAAATCATAAAAAACAAAATATTTTAACAGAATTAGAAATCTTCCTTATTTCCGATAGTAAACATAGGCCCACCAAGTGTAGATGGAATATCATGAAACGGAGCGTCTGTATCTGGTGTATAATCTCTGAATTTTCTTGAAGTAAAATAGAAGCCTCTTTCGAACTTTTCGAAGTCTCTAGTATATTTATAGTCCGCAGGACCTGGAAGATTTGATGCTTCACGCTCATCAATCGTCGTACGGTTAGCGGAACCTGGAAATCCTTGAAATGGATCAGCCTTTTGCGATGGCGGCATTTTGAAATATGTTCCTGGGCCAGGTATTCCTTTGTGAGGATCTGGAATAGGTATTTTGCTTCCAATTGAAGCCGATTGCTTCGATAAAGTTGAAGCATGATCGTAAATGGGTCCAGGGCTAATTGTTTCATAGCTAGTTTCTGGTCTAACGCCCATAGATAGTTTCTTAGGCTGAATTGTATCTGGAAGTTTATGGTATGGATAATCACAAATATCTCCATGAGGAAGAGGCGGTCTTCCTTTGAGATTGATAGGAACTGCATTAACATTCTCCAAATCTCTGTTGATAGAATACTCTGCAGGTCCAGGTTTTCCATTTGCAGGATCAATTGGAAGACTGCTTCCAATTTTAATAGGAGTATTAACGGCAATGATATTAGTTTCCATATTGTATTTAGCTGGACCAGGACCATATCTTTTTGGTTCAGGTCTTGGAATAAATTTTCCAATTTTTCGCGGAATTTCTTCTGGATAGCTTCTTGGAACGGGATGTTCTGCTGGTGAAGAGAAAGAGTTAGGATCTACAGCATCCCAACGCTTTCCTTGGCCAATTGCAATTGGAGTTGTATCAAGTTCTCGAGATATTGTATAGTTTCCAGGGCCTGGGTTCTCATCAGGCTTTTCTCGTTGCTTAAATCGAAATGCAACCTTTTTTCCGTCTGTTCCGAATTTTGGAGGTGAATATGTTGGTCCTGGCGTCTGAAATTCTTTCGGTGTGTATGCGGAATAGCCAAACGATGAGCCTTTTTTGCTTAATGTTGATGTCATTGATCGAATTGGCGGTTCTGGATCAGGATCTCTTTGTTTAATTCTTCCTTTGACAGTATAATGGGGCCCTTCGCCAAATGGAGCAGGAACGTCATATCTCCCTGGTCCTGGATTTGGCGCTTTCTTTCCTTTTGCCCATAAAGAAAGCCCCATATAAATAACGTACTTTTATTTGGTAATTTTTTTTCACTTCAATCTCAACGGCTTATCAATTACGCTTAGGATGACGAGGAATTGTCAATAACATTTTATTGATTCTAAAATCAGATGAAATAGTAACTTCAGAAAATTGTTTTTGCAATGCACAATTTTCTAAGTAAAGTCTATACGAAGGAAAAAGAGTTTATGCATGTTAAATATGTGTATACATTAGATATATAGTGTATAAAACAATCAATCCCTTTCAATTTTTCAGAGAAAGCAGATGTATACTCAGTTGGCTGCATCTTCTTTTTCATGTTGGCAGGCTACGATCCAGCAACAGATGAAGGAAGCAGAATGCTCCAAAAGTTCCAGAAAAACCCCTTCGTCCTTGATTTCAAAGATGAAAAAGATAGAGAAATGATTCTAAGATGCCTTCTCGATGACTACAACGAGAGAATCGACATCAATGCACTTGAAGAAGAATTCTTCAATGACGACGTATTCTAATCCAAGAAATCACCCATCTTCCTTTTATGCTCATTTCACCCAAGAATTAACAATAACTCTCTATCTAAAAAAAGTAAGTTTTTAAATATACAAGAAGATTTTTATTCTATATTATTCTGAAGAACATTGATATAATCTTTCCATTCAGGAATATTATTATAAGCAAATTCAAAACTTGATGATGCATCAGAAGAACTTGGTCCATACCAAATTAATAATGCATTTTCCATATCACTTATTGGATACCAATCTCTGCACCAAAACAATTCTTTTCCAAATAAATCAGATGGATAAATTTTTGTAAGTTGTGTCAAATAACTTGCATCATTTGGAGTATTTAAGTTATATTGCCATATATAAGAAAGATATCTCATTTGATCACCAATATTTGTAAGTTTAAATTTCGTCAAATCAGCTACAAATACATTAGATGATATTTTTTGAGAATTGGAATCTCCAACGAAATTAATTAAACCATTCATATGAGAATTATATAAATTACTTATATCTCCTCTAACAACTGTTTGACAATCAATAAAAATAACACGAGGAATATTAAATGGAAGTAACATATCAAGGAATAAAAGTCTATATTCAAGAGAACTGTTCTTGAGATCATATTGAGAAAACATTACATTCGGCCAATTCATATCAACATATTCATATTTGAAGCCATGTTTTCTGGAAAATTCTGGCATCGATTGAATAAAATCGAAAGAAAGATATTTCTTAAAAATGAAAAACTTCACTTTTGATTTTGTATGTTTCATTACTGACATCATCATAACTTTCGCACATTTTTCATGAGCTTTATCAGTAGGAATTGTGAAAATATTAATATATTCTTCAGATACATTAAATTCTGCATTAATAAATATATTTTTGTCGAAAGGAATCAAATTTGTTGCAAAACTATCAACATCATACTCTAAAACATCAGAAATATAATGACGACCTGGTAATGTTGGTGCTTGCCAATACATTAAACGATTTAATTGTGCAATAGATTGAGAATCAAACTTCAAAAATGATTTTCGAGAATTGTAATACAAATTCCGAAGTTTTCCTTCAACGCAAATTTTGTCAAGAACATATTTAACTTTGTAAAGACCAGGTTCTTTATCTTCAAGGTAAATATTGTTTGGATCTATATCAGCATGGAATTGTGATGTTATCCATGAAGAAGGATTTGATAAAATCATATTATATCTCGTCATTTCATTCAAATGAGTAAATAAAACAACATCAGAATTCAAAGAAGATCTATAAAAGAAATTAAAACAAGTTACACGCGGAATTATGTCGTTAGCAGGAGCAGCAAGTAATTTAACTTTAGCAAGTTTGTTTTCACTTACATATTTAATTATATCTATTGATTCTTGGAAACTTTCAGATAAAGGATTTGAAACAATTTCCCATTCGAAATCTCCATCATTATCTAAATGAACAATATCTTGATCTACTTGGAACAGCTCTGGATTAACAGATCCACGTTCAATTCCTGAAGAATACCAATCAGTATACATTGTTATTAAATAATAATACAACAAAGAATTATTACTGTCTAAAATAGTATTCAATGATTGAGAAATAGAAACAGAAAAGAAATTATCAATTTCAAACAAGTTTTCTTCAGTTACTTCGAATTTTTCAAACACTAATCCACCACAAATTAATACAGGATATTTCTTAAATTTGAACAAATCTGTGTCAGGATTTATAGCAAAAGCTGTTGGATATCTATGTTGTTTTTGCATGAAATCACGAAATACTTTATTATCTGTTTCATTTGTCAATAAAATATAATAGTTTTTCGTTATTTCTGAATCAACATGATCCCATTTAATGTTTTGAAATTTATGAATAAATTCTTTTTGTTCTGACAATGATTTCATGTAAATTTTCGTTCCATGTTTTTCAATTGTAGGAGACAAAGGACTTCGAAGAGAATTAACAACAAAGTTAGTTATATTCATTACTTCAATTGGATCTAAATTATTTTCTTCAACATTAATTTCATTGTAAATTTTCATGATTTCAAGAATAATCATTAAATATTTCGCATAAGAATTTTCTATTCGTTCAATCTTTCCATTGACACAAATAGTATTTAAAAGAATTCCTTTATCCCGATAATATCTATTAACAGAATTTAATCGCTGGAATACTGCAGTATCAGGTGAATAAAGTTGATGCAATTCAGACCATGACAAAAAATCACTTCTTTGCCATGTTAATGTATTATAAATTTTTTCAGCTAAAATATCAATTTCATTATCATTTTCGCGCAAAACAATTTGATAAATGAATTCTACTGCAAGTTTGGGGTTCTTTATTGCTAAATGATGATAAGCAAATGAAATTTTTCTGAAATTTTTGTTTTCAGTGTTGAAATAAGGAACAAAACCGATTCTGATTGGAAGTTCTTTAATTACTGATAGTTGGAGAGATGTTTTAAGAGATTCTCGGCCTTCTTTACTTGATAAATCAAGATATGAAATAAAATCAACAACTTTCTTTGTTTTAGAAATATCAAAACCGAGTTTTCGTTGATCTTCTTCAGAAAACGAAATTCCTTCACTACATTTGCCATCTGTGTAGAAATCAATGTATTGAAACCGATAATCAAATAAAATATCCATGGATGAAATGTCTGCTCGAGATAATCTATTAATTTCTTCTATTTTGATGCCGAATGTGTTGTTTAGTATATCTATAAACGTTCTTTCACGTTTAATGATGTCAAAAACAGTAAAAATGTCAAAATTTGGACTTTCAAAAATTCTGCCATTAATTGAGTGATAATCGCTGTATTTTGATATGATCTTATTGATGTTTTGGAAGGATTCGATAGTTTCGGGTGATACTTTCGTCGAAAAAACGTCTTCTTTAAATGCTGGCCAATTATTTGTAATATCACGAAGAATTCGAAGAAGCGGAACGTCTTTATGATTCTTTATATACTCATAAACCATTAAATACATGTTTTCTTGCGATGTTTCGTGTTGATCTTCATTAAAAATATAATTTTCGATGTATTTCGTTGTATTATCGATAGGAATATTTTGATCGAGATTTGTTCGCTTCTCTTGACCTATTTGATCATCGGTTTCCATTGATGTTGGACGAATTGAAATTCCATAACCACGTAATTTGTATTCGCCTGGTAATACTGGGATATCGAGTCTTAATAAAAGATCTTTTTGGTTTTTAATCATGTCTAAAACAATCTTTGCATTAGAGTTCTCATGTAAATTTAAAAATGTAACTGTGGTTGGTGATCCTATAACGAAATCTGTTTTGTAAATGCGCATAGATTCTTTGTCTTTAATGCTTTTCGTATATTGTATCTTTGGAAGTAAAGAACCTATTTCGAGTTCAGATTTCAAAAGAGAAAACATATGATGTGGTAGCAATTTTTCTGCTTGTTCCATTAAAATGTCTTCTGATTCGATGTTTTCTAGAACTGAAAACAAGTATTGATGTGAAACTTCTTTGGAATAATCAAGAATAAAGTAGAAAATCTGTTCAAATAAGAGAGGACGGTCCCAATTAGAAACTGTTTCTACTTCAATGCCATAATCAGTGGATAGCTGAAATGACAGCCCAAAAAATAGAGTTAAAATCATTTATAAAATGAGAAGAAATGATCGGAAATAATTGAGGGAAAAATGATGGAAAAAAAAAGCATAAAAAAAAAAATGGTTTTAATCCAGTTAAATAACAGCACTCTCCAGAGGATTAATGATTACAATGCACAGGACAAAGTTACTTTGACGATCAACAATATCGAAATCGTATTCAACAAATCATTTGCAATAGCAATTTCTCAAATGATATATTCTCAGTATCTTTTAGACAAAAACATTGATAAAATTGATATAAATTCCGATATTATATCTAACGATACATACAATATATTAAAAGATTTCTTTCAATATAGAACTACTGAACTTGACGTTGATGAAACAGTGCTGAAAGACCTCCTTCACGTCGGAATGTCTCTAGAAATCCAAGAGTTAATAGATTTATATAAATCGAATGTCATCGATAAAACGAAATTAGATATAACAAATTGTATTCAATTACTTGAATTTTATATGGATTTTTCCTGGAATGATAAGTTAATTGAATGCACTAACTTTATTGCAGAACATTTCTACGAAATCGATCAAAACCAACTCAAAGTCATTTCCAAAAAATTTGGAGTTGATATTTTAGAGCAAATACTAAACAACAAAAAATTTGAAATCACAAACGAAGATTCACTAGCTAAATTTATCATTTCTCTTGCAAGAGAAGACATTGTTTTCAGTTCATTGTTTGAAAACATTTATTTTGAGTTTTGCAGTGAAGAAACAATCCGAGAAATGAAAGATTTCGTTAATTCTGACAACTATCAAGATGTTGTCAATTCCCTTGTTGACTCTATCATACGATCAAGAGATCCTAAAAATAAAGATAGATGCTGTGAAAAAAAGGTAACAAACTACTTTGAAAGCGGCAATGTAGTGATGTCAGTATCTTCCATTGGCAGTGGATCAGCCGAAATTATTAATAAATATAGGAATGATACATATTTTATATCTCAAAATATACCTAATTCATGGGTTGAATGGAAACTAAAACAAAATTATTTAATTCAGCCAACAAGTTATATAGTTCGAACGTCACCAAACTATATGTCCTTTATTAATAAACTTCGATCGTGGAAAGTTGAAGGATTAACTATTAATGGGGAAACAAAAGTCATTCATAAAGTTTCTAATTCACTATTAAACGAAGGTGAAATTCGCAAATATGATATTATATCTAATGATAAATTTGTGTCATTCAAATTAATTCAAACCGGCAAAAACAATGATAATCATGATAAATTACTTATTGATGTTTTTGATTTTTCAGGAAAATTATTTGAAATATAGTTTCTTTGTTGGTTAATATCTCCAACAGCGTAGTAACTACTGATTTAATAAAATTTCATAAATCTAAAAAACCTCTTAAGGGCTCACTGCCTTAGTTTACAACTATTTAAATTTTTACACTTAAATGTACTTTTTCTCTATGATAGAATTGATATTTTTATGAATAAACTTAAATATAGCATACATTGATCATACTCTATCTTATCATTGTTTAAAAATCTAAAAAGGATCTATAGAAAAAGACTCTGGGTGTAAATAACGTATTTTTTTGTAAACTAGGGCGGGGATCCCTTAAGGCCGCACTTACGCCCATCTGACTTTAATTCAAATTTTTGACAACTGGCGTGAAGCATAATTGAAAATTAACCTTAACCATCTGAATTGAAAGCAATGTCATGGGGGCGTAAGTGCACCCTTAATCTCGATTTTTATTCAGGGTACACTTACGCCCCTATGACACGACTTTATTTCAATTGTTTAAGGTTAATTTCCAATGACGCTTCACATCAGTTTTCAAAAATTTGAATTAATTTCAGATGGACGTAATTGCAACCTTAAAGTGCACTATTTTTTTATTTAACAAATTTAAAATCAAGTCAGTTGCATCGATTGTATTTTGCGGTTATAAAGATTATCTTTATATTTCTCTCGAAGTAATTCAACTTTATTTTCAAAATAATTTCTTAATTATGGTAAATAATAAATGCTGCAAATAGCTTCGTATTTTCAAATCTTCCGTTCATAGCTTATTTATTGATGCAAAATTCCTTAAGGATGCGCTTATGTCGATCTGACTTTAATTCAAATTTCTTACAACTGGGGTGAAGCGTAATTGAAATATAACCTTAAATTATTGGGTCCCACATTTTCTTGAGGGTCCTGGGCATTATTTAAAAAAGTTGTCCATAGAAACACTTATATATGAAATATTGCAGATGATGAATTTTTTGGGAATTTTGAATAGTCTACAATTTAAAACCGGTTTATATCGTTCTCTTATCAAAATCAAACACACACTTCAAAAATTGAAATAAAAACCGCCAGGACCCGTCAAATTTCCTGGACGCAGAAAAATGTGCTACGTTAGTTTTTGCAAAGACTTGGATATATTAAAAAGTTATAAAATTATAAGAATAAATATATTTGCAGTAGTTTCCAGCTAAAATTTACATAATATATGAAATTTGAGAAATTCTTTTGAGCGTGCAATTGGCATTCAACAATATCAATACATTATTTGCACTAGTTTACTAGGAAAATGAGAAAGCATTGGATTTAGATATTATAGTAGTAGTATATGATGGGTTTAGTGACTTTTTTTGTAAACGTAAGAATTCATACAATATCGAGCGATTTTGTATCATTTTTTTAACATATGAAGTAAAAAATGTATGATTCTTACGGTTTTTATTCTTACGTTTTTGAATAAATCAAGATTTAAAAAATTTTCAAAATTGTAAGACATTTACACTCAGCCCATACATAATGAAATTAACATTAATTTTAAAATAATTTATTTTTTTATCTTTTATAAAATAATCTATATATAGATGATGTCAGATATTCCGTGATTAATTAATTATTTTTGAAGAACTGAAAGTGTCACCATGTCACCATGTCACCAGGTTAATTAACTTCTCTTAAAAAGTGTGACAACATGACATTTTGACAACAGGACGAGAAAAAGAAATTAGAAATGATTATTTGAATTTATGAAATCAATTATTTGATTCATTCTTTCTTCAACCTCTTCTATTCTTTTTATTAAATCATCTATTTTCATTAATGAGGTGATTCTTGATTGAGGAATAGATTTCAAACTAACCACTCCTTTTATTTTTGAAATTTTGAATCCATCAACTTTAAACATTTTATTCAATTTACACGTTGTCAATTCTTCAAATAATTTTTTATTATTAGCATAATAGTCATTAAATTCTTCAACAGATGAAAAAATTTTTATTTCAGTAATTGGTTTAACAACGCTTATTTTTTGTTGAACATTTTCACTTTCATTTATTTTTAAAATCGGTTTCATTTATCATTAAATAAAAATTAGAATATAAGTGATGAAATATATTTTTTAATTAATATTAAATCAGAAATGGCGGCAGGATTCTTTAAAAAATTATGGGATGGAATTAAGAAAGCTGCGGGTTGGGGTTATAAAAAGATTATTAAACCCGTTGCAAACTTTTTGGCACCAGTAGCGAAAACGGCAGGAACTATCATAGGTGGAGTATTAGGTACTAAAGCAGGTAATCCGGCGATGGGAGCACAAGCAGGTAACGCAGTTGGTGGAATTGCTGAAGGAATACTTAATAAAATAGGAGGTAGATAGTGGAAAAATATAAATATTATTTTTATCTTAGTATCGGTTGTAGTCTTTGATAAACTTTTTCTCCTTTATTTAAAATTCTCTTATTGGGGCAGCTTTTGGCGTTATTGATTCAGCAATGTCACTAATTGCTTCTTTATTCTTAAATATCCAATTTGCTCCCTTCTTCAATGTTTCCCAAACTTTACTCGCTCCTCTTTTTACTTATCCCACAGTTTCTTAAATATACCTGCAGCCATAGTTGATTATTTCATTAAAATTAAAAATTCATTTTCATCTTTTAATTTTGATTTTTTATTTATTAATAAATGACGACTAACTATTTGGTGCCAAACACTAAACCGATTAATGGAAATGTGTTTCATTCATTCGAAAAGATAAATGAAATATTCGCAAAGAATGATGGTAGAAGATATTATAGAGAACTTGAAAGTTCATGCTATGACTCTGATGCTCCATATTTTGATGATAAACAAACTCATTTAAGAATTACAAATCCGGCTCATGATGTGAACCAATTAGGTGACACATATATTAAACGCAAAGTTAAAGCAACTCTAGTTTCAAATAAAGCTTTCACATGTGATGCCGCTTTTAAATCAAATGCGTTTATTCGTTGGTTACAATCATCAAATCAAACTTTAAACAATTAGAAGTAGAAACCGAAAGAGGTGATGCCGGTTATCTTTCAGATGGATTGCGCCCGTGAATCTTTCGCATTTGCAACATATAAACCAAAATCAGAAAGGAAAGTTAAAAAGTTTGTTCATATCGTTATATAATAATGTTCAAAAATATGATAACTCAGTATGTGGGTAAATATATTGACCCTTCAGAAGTTTTCAAGAAGAGCAAATGAAGAAGTTGATGTCACTTTTGATATGATTATTCCGGTAAATGATTTGTTAGCATTTCAGGCGTTCGATGATTATCCTAAATCATTTGGTGATATCATTCTTAAATATTATGTTTTCAGGGATACTTTAGTATTTTGTCAGGTTGACCCGTTAAGAGTTGCTGATTTACAAAATTACGTTTATGAAAAGATATCTGATGAAAATTATGAAAAGATTATGAATCATGTTTATAAATATGATCGCAAATTCCAACAAATCGGACTTCCTGCCAAATTAATTACAAGCTTAGCCGCTACAACTGCTAACGCAACAGTTGATGGTGTTATTATTTCATGCACAAAGATGGAAGTTTTAGAGGATAAATGCATTACACCAGGATATGGTTTAATTGAAGAATCAGTTAAAGCAATACCACGTTTATTCAGTAAGGAAGATCCATTCATGATTCCAGCTCAACATATTGACGTTCGTTCACTAAATGGAGGTTGCATCACTCCTGAAGGTATTAGCTCAGATTTCTCATACGCTCTTCATAATGTTACAGATGTTGTGTTAGCATTTCCGAAGAATGCAATGCAAAGAACAGTTTTAGAAAATCCAATGCTTCGAGGTCTTCAGGTCACTATAGATTCCAGAAACTTCCCCGATCAAGCGATGACCACAGTGGGTGACATATTCTTTACACGTATGCTTCAAGCTTCTGATTTAGATGGAGTGAATGAATGCACAGAAGAATACGAGGACTCATTAACTAGACCACTGAATGCAGATGATGGCACGCCATTAGCTAGAACATGGAAAGACCAAACTTCATTCTTATGCACTATTCCAGTTCAACGTGATGGAGCGGGTATATTCTTTGATGGATTAGAAACTTTCAACTCACAAGTTACAGTACAAGTGAAAGCTTATCCAATCATTCAGGGTGAAAATGACACTTACTGTTCAAAGGTGACAAATCCTCCTCAGGTTTGGTTTACTAGGACTACATATTGGACATGGACACCGGATGAAGGTTTGAAATATCATCCAACAGGTACACCACCACAGTATAGAAGTTCATATGATGAAATATTGATGAATAGAAATGTTTAAAATTATAAATTTATTTTTGATTAAATGGATTTAAATTCATCCACCCCTTATGAAGAATTAGCAGGAGTATATAATACATACGTAGATGATATGATTAATGAAGCATTGAGTGATAATAGAAATGCTCTATCTAAGGAAAAATTAATGAAAATTCCATATTCTGAATGTTACTTAAATTCAATCACTGCAGCAATTGGTAAACAGAATAAAGGTAAAACATTAACGATATTAAAACAAATTATCATTATTGCTAACACTTCCCCCTATTCACATGTGTTAATTTATATCAACCGTTCAGGTTCACCTTCAGATGATACATTTGAATCTTTAAAGCATTTAATCAAAATTCCAATTATTTATTTATCACAAGAAGAAGCAGAAGATTATTTAAAAAACTTTTTAATGTATAAAGAATTATATAATACAATCAAGAAGCAAGGATTAGAGGATAAAATTATTGATAAACAACGGGATGAATTATTTGAAACACTTTCTATTTCAAATTTTGATAGAGAATTTTTGCATTCACTCATTTTTCTAGATGATGCAGTGAAATCAAAACTAATAACAAATGAGAAATCATATTTTAATCAGTTATTAACTCAATGTCGACACATTCAGTGTTCATTCTTCATGGCTGTTCAATATTTCAAAGCATTAAGCACAAACATTAAATCAAATCTATCAACACTTTTCATTTTCAGTGGGTTTAGTCGTCAACAGTTGAACGTTATGCTTTATCAAGTGAATTTACCAATGAGCATTAATGAACTTTACACACAATATCAGCAATTAGGTGAACATGGGAAAATAATAGTTGATTTAAATAAAGGAAGTGTTAAATTTGATTAACTTTTTATAATTAATTATTATTTTTTATTTATAATTAAACATGACTGAAATGGCAAATCTTCTACAGGTTCCATTAAAACAAGGAACAAACAAAAAGGGTGCATATAATAGAGCTATGAAAGTTCCTGATGGAATGAAAGAATTAGTTCATATTGTTGCTGGTCTTCAAAAAGATGTTAAACAAATGAGAAACGTTTTAACATTACCAGAAGCTCAAGCATATGCCAAACGTCAAGGTCCAAATTGGGAAGCACACGAAGCAGACATTACGGGTCCAAATGGAAAACCTGATGGTATAAATGAAGTTTTCATTACTGATGGTCAAGGAAATATTAAAGTCATAAATGGTTACAAATTAACTATAACTGATTATCCTAAACGTAAAGCATATAATGAACGTTATCCTATGCAATTTGATGAAAATGGAAAAGCTGTTAAACAATACATTGGAGAAGGTGAAAATGGTCCAATTAATTCATACCGTTATAATCCATATTCTTATTTCAATGAAGAATTAAATGCTATTGAAGAGGGACCGGATGGATTACCACGATATTCTAACCAGTTTGGTGGTAAATATGCAAATATTAGACCCGAAATTTCAGCTAAGAAATTCTTTAAAGTTGCTTTATTCGATCCAGTTTTCGCAAATGTTAAAGATGAACTTAAACAGCAATTCCAACCAATTATAGTAGCAAGAATTGCATCAGGTGCTTTATCTCAAGCATTCAAAGATTTAATTAAGAAACCATTATATCAGCAACGAGGTTTAACTTATGATTTAGTTAAGGAATCAGATAAAAGAAAATTTGAGAAATCAGATGATTATAAGAATGCAATTAATGAATATATTAGGTCTATTAATTACAATGAAACAGCTAAAAATCAACTTCATGAACAAATACAGGGAATAATAGATTCAAAACTTCCAGCAAAATAAAAGTTTAAATATATTTTTTTATTCGATTATAAATGAGAAGACGTTTCACTAGTCAAAAGAACACTAACGCAAAAGCAGAGATTACGGTTGGTTATAACGTAAATGATGATAAATCACGAATTATTCAAAATGTTAAAGTTAATGTTAGCCCCGAATTAACAAGGTCAGCAACTCAACCAAATTTATTAACTCGTGACTTACCGAAGAATGAAGAGAATGAAGAAAACCATGAGAATGGAGACCCAATCATTTTATCTGAACCCGGTAAAGAACCTGTTGAAATTCCCACTTATCCAACATACCCCGCCTCTTTCATCAAACATCGAGAACCCATATAAAATAGACATTAATTCTGAATTAATGAAAATTTACCGTGATATAATAACTGATAATTATGATTCAATAATAAATTTAATTGATCAATCCGGTTTAATTATTTTACCTTATGAATCATTAATTCACATTATCGCCATTCTTTGTGATGTTCAAGATTCAGACGTTAAGATTCAATTTTTCATAGATGATGAGGTTTCATGCTGCGGAACAGTTGCAAAAATAAATCCTATAAAGGATATTAGCACAATTAAGATATCAAAGAACGGAACAACAACTGAACTTCATTTAACATATAATGATATTTATAATAAAATAGTTGATGAATATAAAATATCACTTGAAAAATTCTTTGTTAAGGCTATTTAATATTCAAGCATTAACATTATCGAATAATAATCCTTTGAATCATAATCAATAATAATTGACCTTTCACCAGTTTCTATCGTTTGTTTTATTTCTTTTTGTTCCCCACTATCCGGATCGGTCATTGTAATTGTTTTTGTTATAGTATCAGCTTTATCTTTAACCTCAATTTTTTTTCCATCGGGATATTTAAACCAAAATTCCAAAAATTCGATATTGTCAATCTGTTCATATTTTAATCTATCAATTACATTTTTAATACCATCTGAAAATCTTATGAAATGGTCATTATATGGGTTTGATTGAACTAAATTTGAATGGAGTGAAATATAACCTGTTGATGAATATGACACTGACTCATATTTTCTGAAAACACTAAAATTTATAACATGAATGAATTTCTTATTCGTTGAATTTATGAATTCTTGAGGTAATCTTATTCTAGTTTTATTTATCACTGGAAAATAACGCTTTACCATATTTTTTAATCGTAATAAAAATGTCAATTATCAATATTATTTCGAATAATAAGTGTGAATTAAATTTAACAGTTTGCGGAATTTATAATGTTACTCTCGTTTTCTGTGAGTGGTAAATTTAATCCCATTCTTTTAGACCCTTCAGATTATATATCATTTATTAAAGATGATGAGCCGCATAGCGGCGGGTCGTAGACCTTGAAAAAACGTATGATATGTATATAAATAATGTGATAGCGAAATGGGATATTAACATGATTTTAAGTTATTTAAATGAATCATTTATCGTATGGTATGAAGAAAATTTTAAATCAAAACCTGATAAACTTTTTGAACTTGATGAAATAAATAACCTTATTAAATTTCCGCTGAAAATTAAATTTTGTACTCCTCATCTTCGTTCATTGTTGGGGATATTAAATTTTGAAAAAGATGTTGGGGATGTTTTGTATTCTGACACTGGTTCCAATTTCATTTTAATCAAATGTGATAAAGTTAATACCCCAATGAGATTTTCACATCAAACATTAGACCCCAACTCTTACCCATCAATACAAAACATTTTATCCATCAACTTAAACACATTTTCTTTATCATATCCGTTTCAATTATCCGGGAATTCATTTATTCTTCATTCAAAAGATTTATCAAATATTAAATTTAGAATAACTGACCTATTTGATTGTGATTTAGAATTTATGAATGAAATATTATGGCAATTTCAAATAGAGAAAATAGCTGATGAGATAACGGATTAAATATTTATTTTTAAATCGTAATAAATGATTAAACAACAGCAACTTAAGGCGCAAAGCGCCCAGGTCCTTCAGACTATTACATATGCCACATATGCATATAATTCAAAGACGGCAGAACAAACGCAAAGGTTGAAATATGGAGATTTGGAGATAGTATTGAAAAATGACCATTTCGAATTCGTTTGCAAAGGTGGTGCAGTGATATCAAATATAAAAGAAATTTTATTTATGAATTCAAAAATTAAAGGTATAACGGATGATATAACATCAATTCCACCAGAAGAACAGAGATATTACGCATTAAATGCATTTCCTAAAGTTTTGAAGATTGGAAGATTTAATTTAAATGAGGAATTCATAGAAGGTTTCCTAAACGACATAATGAAGAAAGCAGATAAAACTTATGTTAACGATGAGTTAGAGAAGAAGGCAAATTTGGTTTATGTTGATGAAAAAGATAATGAAATTAAAGAAAAGGTTGAATGATATCATGAATGGACATCGGAGACTTTTAAAGTTAAAGCTGATACAGGATGGGTTTCAGGATGTTTAGACCTTAAAGCAGATAAAACTTATGTTAACGATGAGTTAGAGAAGAAGGCAGATAAGGAAAAAGTTATTTCATTCATTAATACCGAGTTAGCAAAGAAAGCTGATATATCATTTGTTAATGAAGAAATAAAACAATCAGAGGTCTATTTTACTCCACCATTTTTAAATTTTATGAAATCATCAGATAAAACCTTTGATATAGATTCTTTTGAATGGTTATGTTTCGATGGAGTGACCACGTATTTATTTTATACAGCTGGAGTGCTTTATTATTTTAAAACAAATGATTTTAAAAACTATGAATCATTTACTCCATCTGTTTTGAATCCTGATACACGAAAGCCAATCATTAATCCAAGAATTTTATATGTTGAATATAATAACGGTAAATTTATGGGAATGATAACGGTTGGAGATGATTTTTGCCCTTGTTATTCATTCGATTGTATCCAATGGTTCAAATGTAATTTAAATCAAGATGCTAAATTTAAATATCCAAATAATCCTATTAGATGCGTTAATAATAAATGGGTACTAATTTATGAAGTCAATCAAATTTTCATTAGTGAGGATGGGATAAATTATTATATGTTTAGTATGATGTCATCAGATTTGGAAATTGATTATACAAGTAAATGGTATTACATTAACAACATGTATTTTATCCTACAAAATGATAAAATTTATAGATCATATTCAATACCACAAGGTCAATTTGAACAAATTTTTCAAGCTGATGGAGACATTGAAGCTTTATGTTATGGATCAAATGTTTATGTTCTCGTTTCAGGTGGAATGGTCTATTCATATCCTGTAAGTTATAACAGACATATTTATTTATCACAGGATTTATCAAATTGGGAATTAGTTTATTCATTCACTCCAAAATTTACTCGAAATTATAGATTTACTAATTTATTTTATATTGATGGGTATTTCATTGCTTTAGGATGTGGTGATTTAGTAAATATCAGTAGTGATGGAAGAAACTGGTCTGAAATCACAAAATTTCAAGATGTACGAAAAGCTATTTTCAAAAATAATACGTTAATATTGATAACAAGACCGGTTTTAAATACTCGCCCAGTTTCAATATTATATAATAAATTCAATATTCATAATGGATTAAATACAACTCTTGAGATGATTTACCCCATTGGTTCAATATATACATCAATGAATTCAACAAATCCAGCTGATGTATTCGGTTTCGGTACATGGCAACAAATAACCGATCGTTTCCTCTATTGTGCTAATAGTTCAAAACAAACCGGTGGTTCAAAGAAAATTAAAGAAGCAAACCTTCCACCGCATAAGCATACAGGAACTACAAACTTTTCTGGCGACCATAGACACTCATTAAGAGACCACCCATTATACAACTCAGACTATGAAGCTGGTTATGATGTTTTATCTCCAGCTTATAACGATTCAACAAAAAAGACTTTTCGACAAACTGAACCAGGAGGAAATCATGTCCATACTTTCACAACAAATCCAACAGGCTCGGGCGAAGATTACATGCCACCATTTATGACTGTATTTGCATGGTACCGCGTTCAATGAACGCGCTTGAGCCCAGACCTTTGGGTCAAGGCTTACCGAATGAACTAAATATATTTTATGTCTGTAATTAATTAGGTAATGAAGTAATGGATGAACTGCAGAAATATATTTTATCGTTAATGGTTTTTAGGTTATTCAATAATTAATTATTTTTGAAGAACTGAAAGTGTCACTACGTCACCATGTCATCAGGTTAATTAACTTCTCTTAAAATTACAGACAACATGACATTTTGACAACAGTCCTGGAAATATATTTTATCGTTAATGTTTACGTTAATGGTTTTTAGGTTATTCAATAATTAATTATTTTTGAAGAACTGAAAGTGTCACTACGTCACCATGTCACCAGGTTAATTAACTTCTCTTAAAATTACAGACAACATGACATTTTGACAACAGTCCTGGAAATTTGATGCAGCTCAAAAATAAAGTTAGTTTTAAAATTATTTTTATTTTTTTATTCCTATATAAATGACGGCAACAAACAACAACAGCAACTATATCGTTTCTGATGAAAAAGTTATTGATTCATTAGCTGAGGAATTAGTTGTGGCAGAAACTAAAACCCTCAACGAAAGAATTGGTGAAAACAAGATTGATTTACATAACTACCTCAAACATGATGGAGGAAGAGGAAGGAAAACTGGTATGGCTTTATTAGTAAATAAAATTTCAAATTTAACGATTATAGATGTTGATATCAATAAATCATACAATGATGAACTTAAAGAAACAGTTAGAAAAGATATTTTATCAAAACTTTCGGATAAAGATGTTATCGTTAAAACTGCTTCAGGAGGTCTTCACATTTATTGTAACACTAATTTCTTCTATGCAGTTTCGAACAGAATGATTAAATGTTATTCCTGCAATGATTATGATATTGATATAATGACTTCTATGGATGATTCAAAGCGTTCTTTAGTAGTTATGGCTGATTCAAGAGTTCGCAAGAATGCAACAGAACCAATCAATACATACTCATTCATTCGTGGAAGTTATGATTCAACATTAACTAGAACAGTGAATGATATATTAAATGATTTGAATATTAAGGTAAGAGTTGAACAGAAGAATGAAGAAATAAAGAGTATCATGAATGAAAACAAAGATGTAAACATTGACGATAAACTTGCCCAGAGCATAGTTGATGGTATTAGTGATTTTGAAGTACATAATGACGGTGGAAACATGAATTTAGAAAAAGAAGTTACATTATTCACACTGTTTCAAGCAATTAATTCGTTACCGGATCATTTAATTAATGAAGCATACGATAACGTTTATAACTTCTGCAGCTTAACTGAAAATGCAAAAAGTAATTTTGAAAAAGCACGTAGTAGATATGCACATTTAATGACTTCTCCATTTGTTTTAGTGAAGATTCTAAAACTATATCAAAAGGAATATTATGATGAATACGTTTTACCTTTATTACGTAAGCCAAAAATAACATTTGATATAAAACTTGATGACTCGTTTTTGATAACAGATATTAGACGCAAGGCTGAAAATCATCAGTATAAAAACAGTTCTGAAGTAATTGTGGAAACAAATACCTCATTCAAAAGGACTATAATATCCACGACAAAATGAATCAAATATCATTCGTTCTTCAATCAAACATGAAAGAGTCACTCAAAATGATTAAATTATTTAAAGAAGAAGGTAAAACCATAACAGCATGGGACGTACTACTAAATCAATTATCCTCATTAACCGTTAAGGGTGTTTGCTTTAAATCTGATTCTCCGGATGTTTTCTCAGCGTTTCAGGGTTATAAATACAACGTTCTCGAAAAACAAGATTACTCAAAAATTGAGATGTTTATGAATTTCATTAAAGAAGCCATTTGTGATAATAACGATGAAGTGTATAAATACCTTCTCGGCTGGATTGCATCAATGATTCAACATCCTGGAATCAAGAATGAAACAGCAATTATTTTGAAAGGACTTCAGGGAACAGGTAAAAACAGATTTACAGACATTATTTCTGAACTTCTCGCTGGTTATTCATGTAAAAACATTACCGAAATAAGTGAGCTAACGGGTAATTTCAATTCAGTAGTTGAGAATAAAATGTTTCTTGTACTTAATGAACTCAAGAATGTTGGTGAAGACAGACTCGCAAACTTCAACGCTTTGAAATCAATTATTACGGATAATGAGATTAGAATTAATGAAAAGAATCAACCCAGAAGAACTGCTCAGAATGTTGCCAATTTCATTTTGGTAACTAATAACGTCTACCCTGTCAAAATTGAAGTTGGTGACAGAAGATACGTTGTTTTAAGAGTTAATGGTAAATTTAAGGGTCAATTTGATTACTTCAAGAATTTAATGAATTCATGCACTAAGGAATTTTATGATAATTTACTGACGTATTTTATGCAATATGACCTTTCATCATTTAATGTACGAATCATACCGATGACTGAAGCCAAACAAGATTTAATTGAATTATCAACAAATCCTTTAGATGAATGGATAAATACACATTATGATGAATTGTGTGCAGGTATGACGTGTAAAAATGCTCTATTCTGCAAACCATCAGACATGAAAGACAAGAATTTTCAAATGAGCATTAAGGATAAATGTGAAAGGAAACAGAGAAGAATAGATAGTAAACAAACATGGTGTTATGTTTTGAAAGAAGAAATGAAAGGATTATATAAACAGATTGAACCAAACGATGATTCATTTACTGACGATGAAATACCTGTAAATGAAGATTTATAAAGTATGATTGGAATTTATTTTTGCATTAATCCCGCTGTGTTGTCAAAATGTCATGTTGTCATCATTTTTAAGAGAAGTTAAATAACCTGGTGACATGGTGACGTAGTGACACTTTCAGTTCTTCAAAAATAATTCATAAATGCCTTCCTCCTTTCGTCCCGCTGTGTTGTCAAAATGTCATGTTGTCATCATTTTTAAGAGAAGTTAAATAACCTGGTGACATGGTGACGTAGTGACACTTTCAGTTCTTCAAAAATAATTAATTATTGAATAACCTAAAAACCATTAACGATAAAATAACTGATAACAAAATTTTATTTTTATATAAATGGATACCCCACAAGCTCAAAATTTACCACGAATCATAACAAGGGAGGAAATGATAAAAATGATGCAAGAACAAATTAAAAACAACAAACCACGAAAACCGAGAAGATGCGGTTATGCAGTAATGATGGAAAGAAGAACCCAGAAGGGTTCGGCGTCTCGAAGAGATGTTGTCGAAGAGGAATAAAAATTAAATTTGGATAGAGTTTAAAAATTCATCTTTATTAAATTCATCTCTTCCAATCAATTTATTTATTCTATTAAATTCTTTTATTTTTGCTTCACCCAGTTTAAGGATTGAACGGTAAGTTTCTAATTTTTCGATTATTTCTTTCCTCTCTTTATCGTTTTCAGCCCCACCGCATTGCGGCTTCTTTTTGTAATAGCATATTTTTGATTTAATTCTGTTTAGTTTCTTTTTATATTCATCGTCTGGACTCTTGGATGCTTCGTTGTCACTCATTTCTTACGAAATAAAAAAAATTAAATATTATTTAAATATAATGGAGTAATAAAATAAATCGGAATTTCTATTAATTTATTGTCAACTTCAACTAATGCATTGCCGTTAATATATCTAACAAATTCAGCTATTGTGTCAAATCTTCGTCTTCTTTTTGTCATTGATTTATCAGTTTTTCCATAATCGAGATGAATCAAAACTTTATCCCCTTGTTTAAAATTCATGAGCCCCGAATTAATTTGTTCACGTTTAACATCATTCAACCTTTCCATTTGTTTCCTAATATATTCCCATTCTTTTGAAATATCATTTTTCATTTCCACTGGTTTCATGTTTATAGTTCTATGCCATGTATTATTGTAATAATATACTAACTGCTGTATGATGGAGTCATGATTTCCATCCCAGTATATCTGACCGTTAACCCCTAACGCATCTCTAAGAGTTCTCATTACCGCATCAACTATTTTATTATGAAACGTATATGGAGAAGATGAGAAGTAAAAATTAATTTGTGGGAAATAATGAGCCATAGCCACCCGAAATCCTTTATCACCATCACCCCTGATATTATCTACTCTTTCATGATCTAGTAAGTATTGAATAGCTCTTCTTGTTTCCTGTTCTGTTTTCCCTTTCACCGGAATGCAATATAAATATCTAGTGTTAATGTTAATGGCAAATAAATAAGTAACGTTTCCTTTTGAATATTCTAAATGATCGATTTCGTATGAATATGGATATGGTGCAAATGAGGGGCGACTAAATTTTTCCTTTAACGGTTGAATTTTCGGGTCAATTGGTTTATTTAATATCTTGAAATCCTTTTTAAAATCTTTTTGCTTCTTTAATGTTTGAAATGGATATAATAAAGTGAATGATGAAGGATTAACTGAAGGAGGAGGTACTACCGTTGGAGGTTTTGGTGTTGCAAGTGGTTTAATTTTATCTGCTTTGATTTTGGATGATGAAGTTTTAGTTGTTGATTTTCCTTTCATTAATTCTGGATGTATTCTATTCATTTGTTTTAAATATGCTGTATATAAAGGTTTGATATACTTTCCCGCTTCGAGTTTATGTTGAAGGATGAATTCCAAAAGTTGATCTTCATTTAAAAGTCGAGCTGAATATGGTTTAACTAATGAATCATAAATTAAAGCTTGTGCTTCATTTATGGTCTGAAGGACCTGGGCGTTTTGCACCTTTAGCTGTTGAACATTTGCTACTTTCTCTTTTGGTGTTGTTTTCGGCTTTTGCGGCTCAGGATTATATAATTTATATAATTCATCAATATCTTCTTCTGTTAATACTTTATTTTTGAAATCTTTCAACTGTTTAAGTTGTGATTTAGTTTTTCCCTTTGAATATTCATTATTTTTAATTTTGTCTTTAATTTTAGAAATTATTCTATCATGATATTTCAAAATTTCATTTTTATAATACGGATAATAATAATTCATATCA